CCACTCATTTAAAGTATACAATTCAGTGGTTTTAATATATTCACAGAGTCAGGCAGCATTACCACTGTCTAATTTTAGAAGATTTTTTTCAACCCCTGAGAAAGCCCGTGCCCATCAGCACCCCCACCCCAGTCTCGGGCCACCACTGATCTACTTGTCATGTTCACAGAACTGCTAATCCTGGATGTTTCACATAAATGGAAGTGTATAACATGTGGTCTAAGAAAGATTCTTTTTCCATTGTGATTTTAATAGCTATGTGCTCATAATGAGAACTTTTTTATACTGCTATTTAAATTGCTATTGCCAAAAAGGAGGAATGGAAAAGAAGTCCCATTAGCCATATCAAGATGCCTAAACAAGGGTCTGTGAGAAGTTCCTGTGGCTGTTGTCGCTAAAGCATCCCAGGTCCCGTGTCAGCATGCTTCACGCACCTCCCTGACCCTCTCTGGCCACCTCCTTTCTGTTGCCCATACATACTTGAGGGGAAAATCAAGAAAATTATTCTGATCAGTTTACAGTTTTCATTTAATGTTCATTTCAATTAGAAGATTTTATGTTATATATGTTTTGGTGGTCATTTCACTTTTGCTTGCCTACTGAATTCCTCTGATATGTCTACTAAATGCAACAATCGTCACAGACTATTTAGCATGTTCCCGCTTCTCACAGTAAAACTAAGATGAGCGATTTCTTATATAGGTTACTTTATCCACTGCCCGTCCCTTTGTCCACCACATGGAGCATCTTTATATTATAGCAACAGTTAACCTCGTTGATAACAAGTCTCCACCATTACTTACACTGCAATTTTGTCTGTAAGTTGATCAACTCTAGGTCTAGACTCAGTTACATGGGTAATATACTAATGCGTTACTCATCCAACTTGGAACTTTTTTTTTTTAAAGAAGTAATTTATACCATATCACTGAAAACATCTTGAAGACTATTGAATCCCAATTATCATGGTACTAAGTAGGCAAATGAGAGGGTAAAAGGATAATAGCATATCTGTAATAAAACATGATCCATAGGGCTGGAATACCATATGTCCATTACATTTTCGAATCTTCCTGTCATCCTGAAGAGCTTAAAAACATCTAAGAACACTGTACAACGACTGTGTCCCACCTGTCCCACCCGAGCTCGTTTGTCCCACTGGGGTTTCCCACAGTTCCCAGCCCTGTGGCAGCTAGCCATGGGTACACTGAGCTTTGAATGTCTCCATATTCTTGCTCTGTGCTATATCCTGAATAGCTACATGAGGTCACTGCTGGCATTTCATTGCTCATGACCAAGATCATTCTTGGGTATTGGAGGACTTTTTTGCTTCTTGAAAATTACAAAAAAATAATAATAGCCCCACCTTAGAATTGCTTATTTTATATCAGGTACTAAGCTAAATGCTTAAAATAGGTGATCTCATCAACTCTTCATGAGGCTTGGTGGTGGGCATTACTATTCCTATTGAACCAAAGAGGATACTAGACAAGGAAGGTCCACTAGCAGCTTGGGATTCGCGCCAGATTGAGGGTGGGGACTCACGTCCAAGCCCACACTGTCCACCATGCCATCATTCTGCCTCAGCAAACATATATGATTCTCATGGCACAAGGAAATTTTCCTTCTTTGAAAAAACAGAAAAAGAAAAAACACTGATAAGAGCTTTTTGGAGGGTTTCCCCTCAAATTTTATGCCTCTTTGGATTGGAGAGTATATACCAGCCACATTTTATAAAACTAAAATAACATTTAGAAGTAAATTCCTGCCCTTCCAGGCCCTCCTGTCTGCACAGATGCAGAGCCGGGCAGCTGTGTTGGTCCCGTGTCCTCATGATGGCACCGCCAGCCAGGCAGAGGCTAGGAGCACTGGCACAGGCTGCAAGCAACTGGGCCCCGGAAGCCCTGGCTTTTCTGTTGGAAAACATTCATGGGCATGGGTAAGCACATTTCTGTGCCCACTGTTTAAAGACATCCAATCCTTTTGATCTTAGCTTAAACGGAGGTTTTCCACAATATAAAACTTTCATGGAGTTAATGGACTTCAGCAAAACAAGTAAAAGTAATTCACCTGATAAAAGAATGTCAACAGCAAGTACAAAATAATTTGTGAGATGCAAGTTGTATACATCCTTCCCAGGAAGAAAGGGACTGCAGTGCACGAGTGGATGGGGGCAGGGTCAAGGACAAGCACTTGTGTTTGATTTGTGGCTCCCAGAATATCGCTCTGTCCTTGCAAAAGGTAGATGCAAATTACACCTCATAACGTTGTTATGAATAATTGCTACTGCTCAGCTCCTGCACATTGGGTGAGTTTGGGTGAGAGAAAAGGCAGTTAGGAACACAAGACACCTACAAATTATGAGTCAGCTCTGGCAATCTCCACTCAAGTCAGTGATTGTTTTCAGAGTAGTGACATTGTTTATGAGCTTGGAGGTGCAGTTGACTCTGAGATTGAGCTGGGAAGGACAAGCCATGCAGCTTTCAGCATGTCTGCAAGGTCCTCAGAGCACACCTTACACGTGAGTGTAGCGCAGACATCATGAGTGCTTTCACAGGACAATGGCTGGGAAGTAGAGATTATGAAGGGGAAAATAAGTTGTCTAAAGTGTAGTGGGTGCAGTAGCTCATAATTGAGGATCATTCATTCTGACAGTATTTGTTGAGAGCTCAACTTGTGTCCACACAACTGAGACCATGGCAATTCATTGCTCATGACCAAGAACAGGCGGTAAGCAGGAAATGAAGGGAGAAGAGGGCCAGCAACAGCTTGGAGACACGACCAGGTGAAGAAGCCTTGTTTTAGGAAAGGGTGCTGGTTTGTGTGTTGAAACCATTGGCTGGATGTCCAGCTGAAAGCTGGCTCCCAGATGCTCTGTTACAATGTTAGTTGTTGAATGACTTTGAATTGTTACAGTTTCAGTTGATGAGTGAGGAGGATCAGCCCTATAATGTCAGCTGCTGCAATGAGTCTGAGTAGGGGGAAAATGAGTAAAGTTCATTTAGCAGTTAGGAGATCACTGAGTCCTTTGGCACCAGTGTCCATGGAGTAGCCTGTATTCAAGCCACATAAAAAGTGTCTCATTATCAAATTAACAATCAGAAAGTAGAAGCAACTATTTACAAAAATTATTTTACTGAGTAATTTTTAAATTAAATATAAGTGGTATATTAAGATCTTTAGATGAGTTTAGAACCTAGAAGTTCAGGTTGAACATACTGCTTCAAACACATAGCCATAATAGGTATATAAATTATAAAAATAGAAAATTTAAAACAGGCATAGCTGGGTTTAAAAACAACAAAGCTACTGGAACAGAAACAGAAACAGAAAGGTGAGAGTGACTCCAGTCTGTCGACTCCCAGGTCTAGTTGGTTGGGCTGTCATACTTGGGGTAGGGTAAACCAACCAACCAAACCAACCAGCCACCAAAACCCTGTAGATGCAGCTGTTTAGAGCTGCAGATACTACGGACAGTCTTTGGTTGATTGAAGGAGGCAAGCAAGCATTCCAAACAATCATGTTAGGGGTAGCAGCTGTTGTGTGGCCAGCTGCTTCCTAGAACAAGTGGCGGTTGCTGGGGGCTTTCAGAGTGAGTGTCCTCAGGAGACATGACTGCATGGCAAGCAGTGTCTCTAAACAGGCCACACTCCTTTCCAAGTCCCCATGGGACAATAGGAAAATGACCAGCCACTGGGGGTGCAATGACAGGAAGACTCATGAACACTACAGCTCTCAGAATATAAAACCTATTATTCTCCGAACTTATAGTTTAGAAATCTGACCACATATCTGGCTAAAAAGAAAACCTCAAATTAATACATACACACACACACACACACACACACACACACACACACACACATATTTCAGACCAAATTCCAGAGCTATAAATCAATAATATTTTTCTAAATTAACATCATGATAGCAAAATTCAGAACTCTCTGAAGACTAGCCCCCTCTTTGGAGGCAATTTAGGGGAGAAATGCAATCTTAAATAAAATCTAGAGAAATTTTTTAAGTACAGGAGAAACATGAACATATTAACATGTAGAAACCTGAGAAAGTAGGAATTAAAACTACCAGAAACTGAAAGTATGATGAAGCAAGGACTACATAGGAATTAGCCTTGGAGATTGCTTCATGGTCTGAGGTGGGTGTTAGGAGGATCCAGGTGCCCAGGAAGGAAGGACTTGGGAGGAACTTGGGATCTGGTCCGCCATGGGAGGACCAGATCCCTGGGAGGAACGTGTGAGCTATCCGACACCATAGTAAAAAAATGAAATAAATGCATGTGTGCAGCAGCTTTGCAGACTACACGCATCACAGCGCACACTCTGGGCGAGATCAAGACTTTCTTGGGCAGTTGCCGGGGCCCAGAACAGCTAGGGACGCAGAAGGGGGGCTGTCTTCGCCCAGCAAGCGGGAGGGGTCAGCATCCTGAAGCTCTGCAGGTTGCTGTTGGCTTCTTCAAACTCTGTTTTTTCACCTACACGAACTCTGGCTGTGGAACCCAGCATGGATGCCGGTACAAAAGCGCCTGCAGTTCGGCCTCTACCTCCAGCAGACGGGTCGCCCAGGTGAGCGGGAGCCCCGCGTGGTGCCTTCCATCGGCTTCCAGAGAGAGTCCTGGGGGCAGGAGCCTGCAGCCCAGTGGCACCAGACGGGACTCCAACACGCGATCCAGGCTAGCCGAACCGGGGCACACGCGGAGGCCCCCTACTCCGCTTCCACTGACACCCTCGCAACGTGGTGACGTAATATGCCTGATAGGCAGGGGGCGGAGCTTCGAAACGCTACCGCCAACCACTAGCGCTCCAGCCGCGTGGTGTCGTCATCAGTGCCCGACGTGCGGTGACGCCATCCGGCCCGGACTTGCCGGCGGCGGGAAGGGCCTGCGGGCCGGCCGCGCCTCAGCCGGATTGAAACTGAAAGCTTAGGCCGGGAAGGGCTGCGAATTGAGGGGGAGCGGGAAGGGGCGGGGAGGTGGTGGCCGGAACATGGCGGACCAGATCCCTCTGTACCCGGTGCGCAGCGCGGCCGCGGCGGCCGTGGCCAACCGCAAACGCGCGGCCTACTACAGCGCCGTGGGGCCCGGGCCGGGGGCCGAGCGGCCCAGCAGGTAACGACGGCCCGTTCCTCTCACCGCCCCGGAGCCCCTCTGTCCCGCCCGCCCGCCCGCCCTGCTGCGGTGGACCTGCTCCCGGCTGCCCGCCGCTGGCCGCGCAGTGTGACTGGGTCACCGGGAGGGCGCCCCCCCACTCCGGAAGCGCTCAGGGGCGTCAGGCCCAGGCGGGCTCCCAGCTCTGACCCCGGCGGTGCCCTGGCCACCGGGTCCAAAGGGAGAGGTGACTGCGTCCGATCCAGGGGAGCTGGTGCTGCTGATCTCTAGGGCGACGCGCACGAGAGGCCCGAGGGCTGGTCACCCAAGCTGTTAGTGTCCGAAATTCACAAATTGTGACGGCTACCGATACCACTTTTACTGAATGGAGAGTCACCTGTTTTCACAAATGTGGAGAGAAAGTGAAGACATTTCACTCTACGAAGTACACCGCTAAACATGCATTTACAGAGTACTTCCTGTCAGCAAATGTGTTGGTTTTTAGGAATGAGAAACTGACCCAGAAAGGCTAAGCTGTTGCATGGGGCCACAGTTAGTTTAGAATGAAAACGTACAGACCTTTGATTTAAAATGGAAGTCTCATACCCTACTTGGTTTTCACTCATATTTATTCCTCACCCAAAGAGAAGACTACTACATTTAACAGATGATACAGTAATTAGACAGAAACTTTTCAAAAGGGAAAATACTGCCTTTTGTAGTTCCTAAAATTGTATTCCCTAGGAATTATAGAAGCAATTGATCTTGAAAACACAGATGGAAAAACCACAGATTTTAATAACCATTTGCTTTAGGATTAGATTTTAGAATATATTTTTGTTTAGGAGAAGGGTATTACACATGTTATAGAGCTTCATCAAATCCCTGTTCATATGCTTACTAACGGATCTCAGACACCTTTTTTAAAAATGAGCCCTGATTTCCTCAGAGGTAAATGGGGAATGATATTTTTTTTTCATGGGATTGTAGAGGATTATGGAAGAACCTAGAAAGGTGCCCTGTTCAGTGTTGGAACAAAAGTACCATTTCTCCTTCCTCTGTTATCTTTACAAGTGAGTGCGTTAGTGATAATCCAAGAGGTTGGTTTTTGGAGATCATTATCTAAAAATAATGCTACCTGTTTCACTATAAATTACCATAACAGTTTGGGTCTGTGAGTCACGTCTTTGCTTCATATTTTTGAGGCTCTATCATTTGGTGTCTACACATTTAGGACCCTTTTGTCTTCTAGGCGGATTTCTTTTATTGTGCAAAGTTCCCTTTTGCCTCTGGTAATTTTCTAGATACTAATTTATCCACTCCTGTTTCTTATGGATTGATGTTTTCATGGTGTTAGCTTTCAGCCTGCCTACATTGTTGAATTTGAAGTGAATTTATGGTTGAATTGTGTTTTTCCATTATTGCATCCATTAGTCTCTGTCTTTAGATTGGTGCATTTGGGTCATTTAAGGTTATTATCTGAATGTTAGAGTATAAATATGCCATTTTATTATATTTTCTGTTCTATGCTTTTTTAATTTGTTTTTCTGATTCTCGTAACTCTGTTTCTCTTCTTGCCTTCCTTTGGGTTACTTGAACTTCTTTTGTTATCTCGACAATGTTTTTGAGTGTAGGTCTTTGAATAATTTTTATGATGTTTGCTCTGAGCATTGCAATATACATGTTACTTATCACTGTTGTGGGTTAGTATCAGTATTTTCCTGATTGGAGTAAAGTGTGGAAACCTGACTTTCGTTCTGATCCCTTTACCCACCTTCTTCCCCCCAACACCTTAAAATTATGTCATGAATTCTGGGCTGGCCTGCCTCAGTGGTTGATTGTCGGACCTATGAACCAGGAGGTCACTGTTCAATTCCCCACTGGGGCGCACGCCTACGTTGTGGGCTCAGTCCCCAGTAAGGGGCATGCAGGAGATAGCCCATCAATGAATCTTTCTCATCATTGATGTTTGTCTCTCTTCCTCTCCCCTCCTCTCTCTGAAATCAATAAAAATTTATTTTAAAATTGTGTCCTGATTATCAGATGGTGTAACCCTTTATGTTTAAATCACCAAATGTGACTTATAAGTCCATTGTATGTACCCATACTTTTGCTCTTTCTGGTATCCTTTCTTCCTGGTGTTCGAGGATTCTCTTTTTATTTCCTTTCCATTGGGAGAACATCCTATAGCCAATCTTGAAATTTCTTTTATTTCATTCCAGAAGGATAGTTTTATTGGATATAGAATTCCTGGTTGACAATTCTTAGCTCTTGAAAAACTTGTTTCACTTTCTCCCATCCTCCATGGTCCTGATTAGAAGTCTGCTGTCGTTCGAATTGGTGTTCTCCTGTAGGTAATGTGTCCTCTCTCTCTTTGGCTGCTTTCAAGTTTTTTCTTTGTCTTTAGTTTCCAGAAATTTAATTATGATGTATCTCAGTGTAGATTTCTTTAGGTTGATGTTGTTTGGCATTCCTTAAGCTTCTTGAACCTGTTGGCTTTTTGTTTCACCAAATTTAGGGAGTTTTCAACCATTATTCCTTCATTTCCACTGTTAATCCTCTCCTTTCAGAATTCCAGTGCTATGAAAGTTGGATCTTTTGTTAGTGTTCCATAATTCCCTTAGGCTTTCCCCCCAGTCTCTTTTCTCTGTATTGTTCAGATTGTGTAAATTCTGTTTATTTGTTCTCAAGTTCCTTAATTCATTCCCTGTCATCTTCACTCTACTGTTGATTCCATCCAGTGATATTTACTTTTTAGTATTGTATTTTTCAGTTTTATAATTTCTTTTTGTTTCAAAAGAATCTGTAATTGATTGTTAAAGCACTTGTATGTTTTCAGCTGTAACAGAATTTCAGTGTCTAAGTTAATCTTTTTTGGCATCAGTTGATTGTCTTTTCTGATTCACATAGTGAGTGTTTTGGTTCTTGGTATGACTGATGGTTTTCAGTTGTATCCTGGATATTTTGTCAATAATGTTAGGAGAATGTGAGTCTTATTAATATCTTTTTTAATAGGATTTCTTTGTAGTCAGAGAACATATTTCATGTGATTTCACTTATAAATATGGTGCAGTTTGTTTTGTGACCCAGGATATGGTCTAAATTGATAAGAATTCAAAAGTCCTTGGAAATAAAGTGTATTATGTTGTTGTTTGGCGAAATATTCTGAAATATTGATTAGGTCCTGTTAGTTAATGGCGTTGAGTTCTTCTGTCTTACTGGTTTACTGTCTGGTTGCTTTATCAGTTGCTTAGAGTGGGATGCTGAGGTCTCTAATTGTAATTGTGAATTTGTCTGTTTCTCCTTTTCGTTTATCAGTTTTTGCTCACTTGTTTTGCAGGTCTGTCATTAGGTACATACATATTTGGGATTGCTTTGTGTTCTTGAAGGACTGACAAGGACACCACAATTTCCCTGTCTGCCTCTTGTAATAATTTTGCTCTGAAGTTTATATTTTCTGACATTGTTATAACCATTCCTGCTTTATTTTGATTAATGTTGGCATATAATTTTCTACCTTTTTACTCATAATCTACTTACCTTAAAAATGTGTTTTTTGTAGTTGTGATATGCTTAGTTTATATTTTTTTTTATCCCTTTCCCTTCCTTTCTCTAAAAATCAATTAAAAAAACATATTAAAAAGGAGATCATTTTCTGTTAGGTACGTGAGGCATTAGTTTCTCTTTTGCATTGTGATGGCATGAGTTAAATGTAAGATATTTATTAATTTGATTTTTTTATTCCTTTATTATGGTACCTTAGTCATTCAAATTATCTTGCATGTGTGACTGAAGAAAGAGTGACACTGGACATGATTTTGTTTGCCGGTGTCTGTTGCACCTTTCCTTGCTTCTCTTTGTAGTGTGGCTCTTGGCCCTGCCTAGAGGTATTTGCAGTGTTATAATAGTTATACTTTAGTATTTAAAAGAGATTCATGCTGAGAACAGATGTCTGTTGTCTGGTTATCTCTAAAATATTTATTGGTAGAGGAAAACACATTTTTAAGTGCTAGTTTTCTCATTCTGAGGGTCTACACAATTTTCTTGATAATTTTTATAACTATGATGAGGATCTAAAAATATCTTACTAGTTGTAAAGGTGAAACTTTTCTTCTGCTCTGATGGTTTACCATTGAAAAGCTTTTTTAAAGTACTTAATGATTTTTTAAGACAATGTTCATCACAGTGCCCAGGATTCCTCAAAATCAGAGACATATCCTAAGATTTATAAAATTTTCTTTAAGGTGTGTCTTTAGTTCACTCAAGTTATGGCATTGTTTAGGCCTGCCAGAATAGAAATGTTTCACTTTTTTTCTACTACTGACAGTGTGCTCATGTGGATAGAGTTGGTAATTGGAAACATCAGAGTTTTAGGCAACTGTCTTGTGCTAACTGGCCCAAGTGTCTTAAAATTTCTGATTGGTATAATATTAGATATTGCCCCATTAACTCTAGTTTAGAGGTTTGCCTCAGTGAAATTAGTATTTAAGTTTCTTACAGAATATTTTGAAGAGGAGGCAATAGTTCCAAGGTTACTATGTGCACAATTCACTTGTAAACCCCTCAGTTTGAGGGGCTGACTGACTCTTGTTCTTGTTGATTTCTCTAATAAGGTCAAACCCTGTTTTTCAGGCAGTTTCTTTCTTTCTTTACCTACTCTTCAACTGGTTAGCTCCTCTGCTGCTATGGGAGGGAGAGTTCCAGTTTCTCTGGTAATTCATATGGTTTTGCTACTTATTCATGACTCTTCAGTGACATAATTGAACTTTGAAGCCATATTTGATAAAGAAAACAAACATTTCCTTTTAGCACTTTTGTTTTTTGCTTTACTAACATGCAGGCAAATGGGGAATTGTTTATTTTTCTTAAAGAAAACTTAAGCATTAGATATATATTAAATGTATCCTCCCTTATATATTAGTTTACTTCTCACAAATGTTTCTCATCAAAATGGAAACAAAGTTGTTAGATATTTAAGATAAAAATGTGACTATAAGCTAGTTATTATATTGACCTACTTACACTTAGATACACATAAATTATGCGCCTCCCAGTACTTCAGTGTTTTGTTAACAATTCCTAAATTTTTTAAAACCTTTGCTAGCAGTTAAGGTAGCTGTCTTCATTTCTTATATGGCAGTACTCTTGGGTTTGGTATCATTCATTCTGTCGTCTTTGTTCACATTGTTTTTGTCTTAAAATGTTTTCAGAATTATACTTAATTGTTTTTGTCTTAAAATGTTTTCAGAATTATACTTAATAGCTGGAAAGGTTGATTTTTCTTGAGTGACAAACCAATTAAGTGTGTATGACACCAAGCAACAAAGACACTTAAGATTCTCTGCTTAGCCTGTCTATGAAAAAATACATTATTCATCATCTTATTGTTTTTAAATACTGAAGTAAAATCTTTGATACAATAGGAAAATTGCTTTGGAAATGGGATAAAGTACTGGTCAGTTGAAAGGCTCTGTTTCTGAAGGCCAGGTTACTAACTGTGATGTTGCTCATACTCAGCATCTTTTTAGACACACTGGGCTGCTTTTCAGCATTGAGATGAATAAGATTGTGACTTTCCCTAATGCATCACAGTAATTGGAAGAACTTAATGAAAAAAACTGAAAGTCTCGGGAAAACTTAATGAAAAAGACTGAAAGTCTCATATATATATATATATATATATATATATATATATTTTTTTTTTTTTTTTACTAGAGGCCTGGTGCACGAATTCGTATGCAGGTGGGGGTCCCTCTGGGTGGCCTGCAGGGATTGGGCCAAAACCCTCAGTCCAGTACCACCTGACGCTTCCACTCATCCCAGCCCCACTATACCTGCCATGAGCTTATGCCCAATCAATCCCGATCAGGAGAGGCTCGAGCTGCCACAGCAGTGCTTGCCAGCCATGAGCCCTGCGTCTGGCACCCTCCCAAAAGGAGTGGCCTGTGGGATCAGCCTGAAACCTACTCTGACATCCTTCAGGGGTCCCAGATTGCAAGAGGGTGCAGGCCAAGCTGAGGGACCCCATTGGTTCACGATTGGGCCAAGGAGGGCTCCAGGACATGTTCGGCCCATCTTGCTCAGTCCCAATTGGCCAGACCCCAGCAGTAAGCTAATCTACTAGTCGGAGCATCTGCCCCCTGCTTTTCAGTGCACATCATAGTGACTTGTGGACCAGTTTACTGTCTTCCCCCTGGTGGTCAGTGCACATTATAACAAGCAGTTGAGCAACCTTAGCATATTATTAGCATATTGCATTTTGATTGGTCAGTTCTGTCCTTTGGTCTATTTGCATATTACCCTTTTTTTATAGAGGGTAAAATAAATGATGTTTTGAACTTTATATTTTATACAAATATTAATTTCCTCAATGAGTGTTTTTAAAGAAGTCACATTATACAAAGAATAAGAAAAAAGGAATTTCTAAAAGGAAACATTCTGTTTTAGGCCTGTACACAGATCATATAATTTTTTGCCTAAATTATCTAAAATGATTACTGCTGTGATCAAGCCATTCTGTAATGAGATTGGTAGTTACTGGAGTTGTTTGTGGAGAATTGTATGAAGAGACCAGAATGGGGCTCATTTTGATTGGTGCATTGATGTGTTCAAAGGAGGAGTGCAAATAAGTGACTGCATTGTTTTCTAACAAACTTTTTTTTCAGCCAAAGGTCTTCTACTTTATTGTTTTTAGTGATAATATGGTATCAAGTCTAATCATCAATATTAAAGTTTTCACACACTTTTTTGGGTATACTTTTAAACAGCACAGCTTGGTTATTATCTATGTAGATGATTCTTATATACATTTAAAGTTTTTATGGGATAGTCAGAATTGATAGTTAAAGTTTATTTACATTACTAAAAAAAGAAAGTTTTTTTTAATGCATCTTCCCAAATTCTTCTCTGATCTGTTTTTATCTTTAACCAGGTACCAGCTGGAAGATGAGTCTGCCCATTTGGATGAAATGCCACTAATGATGTCTGAAGAAGGCTTTGAGAATGATGAGAGTGATTACCACACTTTGCCACGTGCCAGGGTCATGCGGAGAAGACGAGGGCTGGGGTGGTTCATCTGTGGAGGGTGGAAGTTCCTCTGCACCAGGTGTGTGGCCCCTGGCACCTAATTTTCTGTGCACTAAGCTGCATTGTTACATTATACATAAGATTAGTTTTTACCACATTTATTTTTAAGCTAGAGGCCTGGTGCATGGATTCGTGCACTGGTGGGGGGCATGGCCTACAGGGATCAGCCCGCTGTAGGAGCACCTCTCATCCTGGTCAGCCGAGCAGCACTTTTCATTGTGGGAGTGCACTGACCACCAGGAGGCAGCTCCTGCATTGAGTGCCCTCTGGTGGTCAGTGAGCATCATAGTGACTGGTCGACCAGTCATTCTGGTTGTTCTGCTGTTCAGTCACTGGGCTCTTATGTATATAGATATGTTTTTTATTGATTTCAGAGAGAGAAAGGGAAATAGAGAAAGGGATAGGAATATCAATGATGAGAAAAAATCATTGATCAGCTGCCTACTGCATGCCCCACACTGGGAATTGAGCCCACTCCAGGACATGTGGAAATTGAACCAAAGTCTCCTGGTTCATGCGTCAACACTCAACCACTGAGCCATACTCGCCATACTTATCTTTTTAATCAAACTAAGGAAGTTGCTCTCTAAATGGTGTCATGGAGAGTGTTAGTACATTAGTCAGAACCAAGCAGCACTGATCTGAAAGACATGAAAAACCAAGTTCACTTTTTTTGTGAGATTATTATTTTTTTTAGCAATTAAAACAATTGTTTTCAATTACAGTTTACATTCAATATTATTATGTATTAGTTTCAAGTGTACAGCATAGTGGTTAGAAAATGATGTACTTTATGGATGTTTTATGTTTAAAAGAGAAGAAAATTTGTGATTTTGTAATTAATATGTGGTACAATTAGTTCTATTTCTATATTGACATTTATAAACTGTGTCCTTTCTCTTCCAACTGTAATTGTATTCCCATTTCAAAAGATAGACATGGAATTTAATTACATGGTAGCTATGCATATTTCTTGACTTAAATGTTTTGACTTGAAATAAGAGTTTTCTGTTCATTTAAACCAGAAAGAAATTAAGATAAGAACTTCTATATTTTAAACTAGTCCACTGGTGGTTGAGGTAAACTGATGTTGTGTGTGACATGTATGAAATCTGTGTAGAATTGGTATGTGAAAATACCTTGTATGCCTTTGCCACTGACTGTACTGCACACCCCTGGGACAGGCAGGGCAGGATCTCAGAGACCATGCTGTCATAACTTGGGTTGAGTGTTTCAGATAAGTTACAGCTTTTACTCTTTTTGCTGTTCAAGGTTTGCAGTCATTGCCTTTATTATGATCATTAACTTGCATCTCTTTGCCCATAAAAGGGATATAAATAATTGTAGAAACATCTTGTTCATCCTCCTCCTCTTCATTATCATGTTAGATGTGTTCAAACAAATGTTTTTATATCTTATTTGATTTCTCAGTCACTCATGAAGTGGTATTCAAGCTGTATTCTGTGGAATCCTAAGGACTGAGGAATCCCTCAGGGATTGGAACCAGGAGGGGTGGCTGAGTAGGGTTTAGTCTCCTCACCAGCTTCTAGTTAAAATAGGCCTAATCTTCATCTTTCCTGTATGTTATATGCTTTTCAGATTAAGAAGGAAATTTCATGGCTAACCAGTGTTTTAGAAATTGCTGACTTGTGATACTTATCTATCTATCTATCTATCTATCTATCTATCTATCTATCTATCTATCTATCTATCTAGATGTAATGTGCAAATTTGTCCAGGATGCCTTTACAATCATGATCGGCTCCAAGCCTTAACAGTCACAACCAGCGCAGCTCGGAGCACGCCCCCAGCCCAGCAGACACACACAGGGGGCCTCTGGGCCTGAGCTGCAGAGGAAATACCTTTTCTGATTGCTCATTGGCTAAGCTCCCTGTACACCGTCACTCACAGTGTTCTTGGTAACTTGGGTAATAAGAATCCACGAAGGTGATCTAGGGTTCTTCCACCTCACTCCTGGAAGCAAAAACAAAGGTCCGCTGCTGGAGGGGTTAAGAAATGTCAGATCCTGCCCTAACCAGTTTGGCTCAGTGCATAGAGCCTCGGCTTGCTGACTGCAAGATCCGAGTTCAATTCTGATGAGGGGCATGTACCTGGATTACAGGCTCCTCCCTGGCCGGGGCCAGGTCAAGGCTCATGCAGGAGGCAACCAATCAAAGTATCCCTCTCACATTGATGTTTCTCTCTGTCTTTTCCTCTCTCTTCCACACTCTCTAAAAAATCTATGGAAACATATCCTTAAGTAAGGATTAAAAAAAAGAAAGAAATGTCACATCCTATGAAAGACACATCTTGAAAATGCCTAAAGAAAGTTGACATTTTTTTTGTTGTGAAGGGACTAGAGTCCATGTTGATGTAAACACCTTGGTGGCTATGGCTGCTGGCAGTGGAAGCAGTAGCAGAGTCATGGGGGTGGTGCCTTCCCCTGATCAGCATGGTCACCTCCCACAGAGAGAGGCCTAAGCCATCAGTAGGACTTCCCCTGAGGTCTCCCAGACTGAGAGGGGGCAGGCTGGGCTGAGGGACACCCCCACCCTAGTCCACGAATTTTGTGCAGTGGGCCTCTAATTTAATAAGTTTATGGCTTAAAAGCCCAAAACATTTTCTGAGTTAAATAGCCAGTATTCCAGGAATGTTCTTTGTGGGTACATACTCATTTCTAGGGTTAATATCTCTAACAGATGTAGAACTGTACAGATTTTTTTTTTTTGTTTAATTGTTCTGTGTCAGTTGTGATGTTTGGTGCTTTTCAAGTGATTTATCTATTTTCAAATTTATATTTAAATTCCTCTGATCTAGTTAATTCATGAGGCTCTGCAGGGATGTCACCTTTTTTATTCCTAATATTAGTAATTTGTCTTTCTCCTTTTTTCCCATTAATCTTGATAAGAGATTGCCAGTTTTATTCTTTTCAGAGAACCAAATTTTTAGTGTTATCTTTGCTTTTGAAATTTTATCTTGAAATAAATTCAAACTAAAGTCAATGCTGCTTTTTGTATTCACATACTCCCCACACACAATTCCCAGCCCTTACCCTTAATTGGAACATAGGCTCATTTGAGTGAGGAGGTGATGGGCCCAGATGAGGACTAACAAAATGGGGAAATTGGTCATGCTTTGGTAGAGATCATCAATAATTAACAAAAGGAAATCACTAACCATGCATTTGTATTGAACCCAGCATAATTTTATTACTGTTTGTCCATCAGCAGAGTCCCTGAGCACTCACAGAGCTGGCTGTCAAGAGGTGGGGGTCAGTGGAGCAGTGTTGGGCAGGGTGCATGGTACTTCCCATACTGCCCAATAGTTGCCAAGAATTACATATTTTTAATGTTTTCAGTCTTCACAGTGCTGAATACACTTAAATTATTTTTGTTTTTTTTTATAGTCTTTATTTTTACCAAATGGAACATATCTAAATTTTGGATTTTATTTGTGCCACATTTCTTTTTTTAAGGCAAATGTTAAAAGCATATGTGAAAATGTAAATTTTAGCAGCAGAAAAACTCTTAATCTTAATAGATTTGATCATGTGGAAGAGCTATCTTAGCAGGTGTTAGTCTAAATCAGCGATTGCCAACCGGTGGTCTGAGGACCACTGATGGTCTATGAGGTCTAAAAGGTTGGTTACTGCTGATTAAAATGGCACAATGACCATAGATGTTGTCACACTCTTCATGTTCAGTAGGCATCTGCTGTACTGAAAAACTGTTAAATTAAAAACTGCATCTTACAGAACAAATTGTATATTTAGCAACTTAGATCTTATTTTCTTTATTATAAATTTTTTGTTTTTAATATTTTCTGCTTTTTAATATCCTAAATACCAAGCATGATGAAATTTGATGTTACTAATATTATTAGTTGATGGATCAAAGAGTAGAAGATACATGAAATTATTTAGTTTAATTGTAGGAGGGAATGTGGGTGAACATTGCAATAAGGTAGATAGCAAATAATTAATGAGTTGTAAATATTTCAGGTAGATTGCAGCTAATATTAATGAGTTGTAAATATTTCATTGTATCTCTGTAGACTCTGCAGGTAGTAAAATTTACTTTAGAATTCTTCTTCCGGGAACTAGTAGGCTTATTATTTGGCAAAAATTCCAACTCTGCCACATTGAAATACTTTTTATGTTGTCTCTCTTCAGAAACTGACTGTCCTTCCTGTGCAAAATTGTGAAGCACACACAGACGTGTGTGGTTCAAGAGAATATGAGAGCTTTCTCATGAGATTTCCATTCCACTATCATCAAAAATCACTTCATCCCTAAAAAAGTGGAGTCCTGACTGGTGTTTTCATGTGAAGAGAGGGGATATCAAGTGCTGGGATTATTCCTAGTTCTAAATGGCCTCTACATGCTCTGTTAATCTGCCACACATTTGGAGTGCAGAAGCATAGGCATGGGAAAGTGTGGATCTTTTAAAAAGACCTGAGTACTGTGTTGCTTTTGGATTGGTAACCAAAGGGATCTGCTGGATATAGTAATGCCTAATTATTTCTTTTTTAAGGAGGTTCTCAATTTTGGGAGTTATTATAGCTAGTTAAAATTTTAGAAACAGGATATATACATATACATATACATATACATATATATATGTATATGCTTTATTTAATATTAGAGTGCCACTTTGATGATTGAAGGAGGCATTTGTGAAAAACTATACTCCTAAAATATTATAAGGAAAAAACATAATTTGTGCACTATTGGATTTAAGTTCAATTATATAAGGGGATTGATATATAAATGGAAAAGTATCTTCTAAATCATTGACAACTTAGAAACTATTGATATTTAGCAGCATAAAAACATTATTACGTAAAGTTCCTGGTTATTTTCTTTCAAGAACTTCTCTTTTTTCTCCCTCTCATTTATCAGTATTTGGCAACGTATTTTACTCACATTACTTTGCCCCTATTACCCTGTTTTAAAACCTTAAGCCTGTGTATTCATTTAATTTTTGAAGTAGTGTGGGATTTGATCGTGGCTCCTTGACCATCACAGAATCTTTCCTTAAAAAAGATTCTGTCTTTTTTAAGGAAATAATTAGAAATAACATTTTTACTTGTTAATAGTTATTAGTAGCAAAGTGTTATGAATAATTGAGTTATATTTTAGAAGTCTAGGAATCTTAGTTTATTTTATATAGGGTTTTAGAGGAAAAAATTAATGAACTGTTGAATGTATGTGTTTCTAGCCCTTGGCATTTAATTTAGAATTTGAGACGTAAGGAGTTAGCAGGGGAGGAGCGTGGGGGATGGACAGGTAGTGGGGGGTGGATCAGTTTCTTTTGCTAGTGAAGATGGTTTTACAGAGCTTTCTGCCTATGGAAGAATATGTTAATAACAGCACAAACTGTAAAATCTGCATTTCCTAACTTCTATATTTTTTCAAACATATATTTTGCTTGTCCTCTATATCATCTTATTTTTGTCTGATTTTTGTTCATTAAACAATTAAATTAGGTAATTATGTGTTTCAGAACAAACATTTATATCTGAACACATTCCTGGATGAGTTTTGCTGTTTTGAAGTGCTTATGGAAGCGTGGATATCTCGTGTTGTACCTACCTGCTCAGTAGCTCTCCCTGTGACGATGGGAATAATCTAGACCTGAGATGTCCAATATGATGGCCACTAACCCAGGTGGCTATTGAGCACTTGAAGTATGGCTTAGGAACTGGACTTTTTATTTTACTTAATTTTACTTCCCATTAAAATGCCACATGTGTTAATGGCTGCTTTCTGGGAAGAGTAGGAATGTAGGCTTTTGTTGCAGAGTTGGTGTTGTAAGGTTGGAGACCTTTGATTGTGACACTGGAAGCAGGACAGTGGCAGCAGAGCTGCTGAGTGCTGAGGGTGGCAGCTGTGCAAGGGTTTCCCAATGTGCGGCTCTCCCCTCGCCAGTGCCACTGAGAAGAGGAAACAAACAGACCAGGGTCTCCATAATTAAATGTCCAATTAGACTTGTTCCCGCTTATAAATTGTTCATTTATTATTATCATCTGTTGACTGGCTGCTGTTCTGTCTGATGCTGAGGACAGCAGCCTATGAATGAGCAGAAGCCACTCAACTGTTGTTAGGGAGTAGGGAGGACACAGCTAGGGGGTCAGCTCTGCCACCCCTCGGTGCTTGTCTTTGATGAATCATCCCTTTGGCCTCCAGTTTTTTTCTATGTAAGATGTGGCATCTGTGCAGTGAATGGGCAGCTATCTGAGACTCTGATTCAGTCCACAGTTTAAGAAAAAGTTCCGCCGAAACCAGTTTGGCTCAGTGGATAGAGCATCAGCCTGCAGATTGAAAGGTCCTGGGTTCGATTTATATAGATATATTTTATTGATTTTTCTTACAGAGAGGAAGAGAGAAGGATAGAGAGCTAGAAACATTGATGAGAGAGAATCATCGATCAGCTGCCTCTTGCACACCCCCTACTGGAGATGTGCCCGTAACCAAGGTACATGCCCTTGACTGGAATCGAACCCAGGACCTTTCAGTCCACAGGCCGAAGGTCTATCCACTGAGCCAAACCGGTTTTGGCAATAAAATATATATATATATATATATATATATATATATATATATATATATATATATATACATACATTTTTTTTTTTTTTTAAAGGGAAAAGAAAAGAAAGAAAAAGTCCCGTCATAACCTGGATAACTTGGATGTGCCACGTGTGTAATGTAACTGGGGTTTTGTGCACAGGAGAATGCATATAACAGGGTCTGAGATTGCACTGTGGAGTTGCTGCTGCAGAGCTGGGAAGGAGCCCTCCTAAGCACTTAGCTGTGGGGTCAAAACTCAGGAGAGACCTCTAGTGAGCAGCAGGGTGCATGGTGTCAGGAGGTGGTAGAGTTAGAAAGGTGAGAAATAGTAGTTGGAAGTTTATTTCATTTTATTTGAAGTCTTTTTAAATTTTTGTTTAATTCAAGCATGGATAAGATCAATATTATCAGCATTTTACCACAATGTACTTGACTAGCACCCTCCCACCCAAAACCAGTAAAGTGGAATACTGTTTTGACAACCTTCAATCACTTTACTCATATCCTAATGTATACTGTTGGTGATTTGAACTTACATTGTATGTGTGGAAATGCCATCTGTTGTGATTTATTTTTAAAGTGATGGCAGACAATGGTAAGAAATTTGTCCTTGCAGAGTTGGGTATTTCTTTACCTGCTCCAGTTGAAGCAGGAGGTGGGTGAGAAGAGGGGTGTTTCCGAGCAAATTCCTTGGCTGGGCCACGAGATACCGAGATAGCCACGCACCGATGGCTCTTCAGACTGAAGATTTTCTGAGCACAGTGAAGAACTGGGCAGATAGAAGAGTAGGGAGGTACTGATTTCAGTTTAAACAGATTGATGTTCCCTGCTATAGGATGCCACCATTGATGATTATAAACACATCTGTTCTCAGCCTCTTTGATCCTAAAAATAATATGGTGTGACTGAAGTGACTGAGCTCTGCCACATGTACCCCGCCACGAAGGACCTGCAGTGACTTCAGGCTATGCTTACCTCACAATTTGCCAACCTCATTTTACAGCCACATTTTCTAAGGCTGCCATTGTCACACATATTTCACATTAGCTTTCGATCTTTGTTGTCACAAAGTTTACAATTCCTGTCTTATATACTGATTTACAGTTCTAATCCTGACTACATCTAAAAGATGAAGTTCTGCAAATTTGAATTAAACTGCACTGTTACTACTGACATTTAAATTCACAATTATTTCATTCTTAATAGAGATGAATTTGCTACTTTTTATCATTTTCTGAAGTATTTTTAAAAGGTTATCCACTGGAAACTTTATACTCTCCCTAAAAATAATGGTTGTGTGTCCAGGCAGGAGAAGTGCTCATGCTTCCAGAACCCTGGCATTGGAGTGAGAACTGATTTAGAATTAAAGTGTTTTTTGCTAAGATGAAGATATCTGCATGGAAATATAGTCAAGCTTTAATTATCATTAAATCATCTCAGTAATGTTAAATACTGAATTGAGCCATAGTGTTTATTTTACATTAATGCTAATAGAAAAGTCATCTTTTAAGAGAGGAAAAAATTGATTACATGGAGAGGAGGTCACATAGAACCACTGAGTGGTGTACTGAGTGTCACCAGTAACAGCGAACCTTTCCTTAGCACTTGAGTATGGGCCACTTCAGAATGTTAATAGTTTTATTTGGCCAAGAGCAGGTCTAAACATGGAAGATAATTTCCTTGAGGTTCTAGAAGTCATACACAGTTACACAAGTCTCTCTCAGTATTTTATATCAAACTAGAGGCCCAGTGCACAAAATTCACGCACTCGTTGAGGGGGTTCCTCAGCCCAGCCTGCACCCTCTTACAGTTTGGGAGCCCTCAGAGGATGTCTGATTGGTGGCTTAGGCCTGGGAGTGGGCCTAAGCAAGCAGTCAGACATTCCTGTGCTGCTGCGAAGGCAGGAGAGGCTCCCACCACCGCTGCTGTGCCTCACCAGCTGTGAACCTGGCTCAGGGCTTCTGGCTGAGCGGCACTCCTCCTATGGGAGCTCACTGATCACCAGGGGGCAGCTCCTGCATTTAGCATCTGCCCCTTGGTGGTCAGAGCGCATCATAGTGACTGGTCATTCTGCTGTTCAGTCGATTTGCATATTAGCCTTTTATTATATAGGATATGAATTAGTATGACTGACCTATTTTAAGAAAACCTCTACAGATTAGCTTTAGATATGCTACCAGTGCCTAGTAAATATGAAAGCAGTCATTATTGGCTATAAATATGTAGGATAAATTTTAAAAAGCATCCACAATATCTTTTGTTTCATGTAGTTGCTGCGATTGGCTGATAAATGTTTGTCGGAGAAAGAGAGAGCTGAGAGCTCGCACTGTGTGGCTCGGACATCCTGAGAAGTGTGAAGAAAAACATCCCAGAAATTCCATCAAAAATCAAAAATACAATGTCTTTACCTTTCTACCTGGGGTAAGACTATTAATTCTTGAAAACGGGTCGCATATCAGAGATTACTAGCTTTCTTTGTTTTCATTGTTTTTCTTTTTAAATTTTTTTTTTCTGTTTTTAATTGTGTCATATCTTTTTGATTTTCAACCCTGTTCAAATTGTTAAATAATTCATATGCATTTTTAATGGATATATCATAGAGTCTAACTGAAGAAAATTTATAGTTTGATTATTGACTTCAGTTATAAACATTTATTGTAGAATTAATCAAGTAAAGCTAAGTAAAATTATCAGAAAGTAAGTCATACATTTTGTTTGGCTGGGAATTTGTTTGGAGGGAAAGTGGAATATAGTGTTTAAAGCCTGCCAAGGAACTTCACAGTTAAAGTAACATGATTCAAGTACATAACTCAGAAACAAAATGCTTATTAGCATTTATAGCTACTTTCTTCACATTATAAGTTTCACACCTTGTTCTATTGTTATTATATCATTAGTTATCTTTAGTTAGGTGTTAATCCTAATTTTAAATACTAAAGTTTAAATATTTTATTATTTTTATTAAATTACAATGCTGAGTTTATGTATGTTTAGAATTCTAAATAGTTGAATACTTTTTGTTTTGGTGCATCATTCCCTATTTTAATCACAGATTTATTTAAGTTATATGAGGCTGGTTCTGATTATATTTTTATATCAAAGTTTTTGATAAGTTCTAAGTATTACCTCTCTTGCTATTTTGCAAGCAGATCATTTGATTAAGTGACATGAGGACTGCTTTGTCTTTCATGTTTTCATTTAAATTATCATGCTGATTTCATGTGGGCATTGATTTCCCCCCCACCACCCATCTACCCATCCATTCAGTGGTTGGCAAGAGCTTGATAATGGCTGAACATTTATTAAAACTCACAAAACTAATGGCTCCAATTAAAAGACTGATCTCTGTCAGGACAATAAAATGAAAAGTATTTTTCAGACAGGTACATATTCTCATCTTTAATGAAGCTACTGTTTTCTCTTTAGGGTTAAGTTATTAAATACTCATAGATTGGCTAAGCATTGTATATATTCTTAAGGGTCACCAGATTCAGTCAGTAGATAATCAGGTTTAAAGCCAACAGTGCAGCTTACCTTTTACTAGTAAATTCACACAGCCTGCCTGGATGCTGTGTCCCAAAGGTACCTGTTGATGGATCTGTACAACTATTACTCTATGAATGATTTTTTTCTTAGGTTGTCTCTTAAATTAGTCTTTTCATCTAAAACATAGTATTTTAGAAACATTTGATAATTGCACAGTAGGAATTCTGTTCCATTTTTAGCATGAATGGCAATTTCTGAATTGCTAAAAGGTATAATTTATGCTAACAGATTTTAAAGAAACCACTGAGGAAAAAAAGGGCTTTCTGTCCTGCTGAGATTAATTTATGAAATGATTCCAAACATTTTGAGACAGCAATTGAACACGATTATGAACACAAAATGTGTTACAATGTAACCTATTTTTCAGTCATGCTCATCTGTGTGATGATGCAGATAACTTCATTATTCTCTAAACCAATAAGTGCTTACCCTATGGCTCTGCTCTGTTAAAATTTCCATACCTTCTAAGGTGCATAACTAATGGTATCCAAGGATATTTGGATTTGCAAGTTGCAAGTTTGTGATAAGTTTCGTTGTAATTGCAATGTGATATGGGAATTATTCTCATCTATAAACATGATTTTTATTCCATTTGATTTTCAATTTAAATCTCTTATTTTGAGAATTTGCAGATAGAAATCTATTAATATATTAGATCTTGTTTTCTTCCTTAAACAAGGAATTTGAATTAAGCAAAAACAAAAAGTTGCAGGATTTGCATTCCTAAAATTTTATTGAATGATGGTATTTATTTTATATTTGAAAGTACTGTTGATATCAACTCCCGGGGACTGTAAAGAATACAGTAGCTGTTTCCCTGAAAACTGGCCTGTGATTTTCATAGCTTTCTATTTCATCATTTCTTTATACTTAAGGGGTTAATACTTCCAAGAGATTAGGGGATTTTGGGGGGAAAGTCACACCTGTGTATGTTTGCTTGTTCACTCAATTTTTGTAAAGTTACCCAGATATCCACATTCATATTTCTTTTTTTTTTTTTTTTTTAACCACTTAATAAATCTAAGGTTAACAGGACTTTTCCATTATAATACTTTCTGAGTTGTTATCAAGATACACATTTGTATGTGCGTATTTGCTGACTTACTAACTTTGGGAAGGCTATTCTCTCTCATTTGCTTTGTTGTGCATATAAAGAGTCACAGAACAGAAGTGGAGTAGAAAACTGGAAAATTGCACACAGGAATCAAAAGGTTTTTGAGGACACTTTTAACATGGTTGAATGTTCTAAAGGTCATTTTATCAGTTTATTTTAAATATGATTTGGGGATAACGTTATCTTTTTTAATATATGATTTAGTTATTGGAAAGCTGATGTCAAAATCATTAAATTTATTATAATCCAAGAAGGTATGTATTTACTGTTTGATGGAAATGTAGTCAGATATTGTGCTGATTTTAATTATTTAATGAGATATTCAAGATTTTCCTTGAATAGACTGTTAATTTTTTCTTTTCCTTTTTAGGTTTTGTATGAACAATTCAAGTTTTTCTTGAATCTCTATTTTCTGGTAGTCTCCTGCTCCCAGTTTGTACCAGCATTGAAAATAGGCTATCTCTACACCTACTGGGCTCCTCTGGTAAAAGAAAAGATTTTTGAAATTAAGTTAAATTATTAACTAGAATATAGTTTTAAGAGTTGAAATGGTTAATAAATAGACCAGATTTTCTAAAACCTGATATTGTTGCTATGTATCATTGAACTTTTATTAAAAGATGTTACAGAGTTCTGTTCTTAAGTCCTTCACAGCTGTGCCTTCGGCAGGAGAAGTTCCAGAGCTGGATGTGGGGCAGGGCTTCTATTGGGCCTTGTTTATCTTCCCAGGGACAGCAGGCCTGTCCCCTTGCCTAGCTCTCTTCTGTGCTGAGCTATTAGAAATGACATGTGAGATCTATTCAGTAATTTCTGATGTCCTGATAATTAGGCAGTGTTTACCTTTGTCTGACAATGACAATTCTCAGGTATCTCGATGGAGTCCAGACAATTTCTGGTTGGCAGCTAAGTGCATAAAAATGTTTGAAAGGCAAATAATACTTAACGGTATTCTCATTTCAAAGATATACTGTTTTTTAATAACTTTATGCTATTTGCTGATTGTTTTTCAGCTTATATAGACAGATGTATAATTTCTTCCTTTCACCTAGAAAAATGCACTGCTTTTAATTTGCTCTCTTTGGGGCAGACACCCAGTGTCATACTGGCAAGGAAACATGGTGGGGGAGAGTATTCCTTCAGGGAAAGAACAGACCAGGGCTCAGGTTTCCCACCACAGCACTGCTGCCCTCAGAACTGGAATCTGAGCAGAGTACTCATGGTTATTAGCTCTGAACTGCAGAGCCCACGCCTCACAGTATCTGGAAGATGGATGGGTTCTGGTTTATGGGACATGCTGAGTCAAGTCCCATCCTGCTACAGTTCCTGTTCACAGGGACTAGGTGGATGAAAGCAATGAAAGTCACTGTGTAGGTAACATAAATGCAGAATTACAGGATAGATCTTTTCCACTGACTGAATTGGTGAGATTGAAGGCAATGTCAGTGCTGACAGTGAAGACGTTGATCTGTATAATTTGCTAATAACGCCAGAGGCCTTAAAGATGAATGCAGCATTTTTATTTGAGCGATTTATCCCAAAGAAATAATGATCAGTCACAAAGTCTAAAGAATGTCTGATTTTTAAAAAAAATTTATTGATTAAGGTATTACATATTTGTCCTTATCCCCTCATTAGCCGCCCTCCCATGTCTGTGATTATTTTTGATGAAAAAGTTATTTAAAAAATTATATTCTAACAATGGACTCTTCAACTCTGCTGTGTGCCATGAATATGTTGGAATACTGTGTTACTGTGTAGCTAACATTAAAGTTACATATATTAGAATAAATGGGAAAGAATGGGTTAAAACATGGGTAGTATAAATACACAATTCCTTGATCATCCAATAGTGAATTTGTTTATGTCCAGCACTAGTCTCAGCACTGTTGATACAATAGATCTTATTTATCTGCTTCCTGACAGAGCTTAGATCTGGAGAGAAAGACAATTTAAATCAATATATAATGCCAAGTAGTAGCCATACAGCTGTGAAGAAGAAAATATAAGGGGACTGGGAATGATAAAATTATTTTAATAGGGCGGTCAAGGCAAGCCCCTCTGAAGGAGTGATAGGAGGGAGCAGGTGGGCCATGCACAGAACAGGGAAAAGAGTATGCAGGCAGAGGGAATAGCAGTTGTGAAAGGTCTTAGGGCTGCAGGATGCTTGTCCCTGTGAGAGGGAGGTTGTAGACTTGGAGGGTGTGGACCTGCGACTGTGGTCGGAAAGGAGATAGGAGCAGGCCGGGAGGAGGGGGCCCCCCCGGGAAGGTGTGCTCCTCCAGGTGCTCAGATTTTATCTGAGTGAACAGGGAGCTGTCATTGTATACGCTACACATGCCCAGGAAGAACACTTACACTTACACCACAGTTTTATTTTTTTTTTTTTTTTTTTTTTTTTTTTTTTTTTTTAAATCAATCTTTATTGTTCATATTATTACAAAGGTTCCTCATTTCTTCCCCCCGCCACCAGGTTCCCACCCCCCCCTCCGCCCCCCCCCCATCCCCCATTGTCCTCATCCATAGGTGCAGTTTATGTTCAGTCTCTTCTTCCCTCAATTTCCCCGATAGTAAATCCCTTTTCAGATAGTAAATCAGTTACTTAGCATTTTCTCATATCAATAATACCTCCACATGCCCAATGATACACTTCACACAAAAGACATTTCCCACTAGGTCAACCAGCCTCATCCAGGCCCCACCCAAGGCACTCACAGATCAACACCCCAGTCCTAAACTAATTCAACACATCCAGATCTAAGCCTTCATCACTTGATTCAGCAGACCCTCAAGTTCCCACGAAAGTTTCCAGCCATGTCTGAGAAGCAGCCGTGGGGCAGGGGCAGGCAAGGAGCAAGCTGTTCTGGGCCTGGCTGCTCAGGGCCTGGCCTCTGTTGCTCTGGTTCATTCCACAACCAGCTGCTCCGGGTCTGGTCACTGCCGCTCCCGACCTAGTTGCTCTGGACTTGGCTGCTGCTGCTCCGGGCCTGGCCGCTCCCAGCCTGGCAGCCGCTGCTCCGGGCCTGGCCTCACCCGACCCGCCTGCTCCCCCGGGCCTGGCCGCTCCCAGCCTGGCAGCCGCTGCTCCGGGCCTGGCCGCACCCGACCCGCCTGCTCCACCGGGCCTGGCCGCTCCCAGCCTGGCAGCCGCTGCTCCGGGCCTGGCCGCACCCGACCCGCCTGCTCCCCCGGGCCTGGCCGCTCCCAGCCTGGCAGCCGCTGCTCCGGGCCTGGCCGCACCAGCCCCGCCTGCTCCCCCGGGCCTGGCCGCTCCCAGCCTGGCAGCCGCTGCTCCGGGCCTGGCCGCACCCGACCCGCCTGCTCCCCCGGGCCTGGCCGCTCCCAGCCTGGCAGCCGCTGCTCCGGGCCTGGCCGCACCCGACCCGCCTGCTCCCCCGGGCCTGGCCGCTCCCAGCCTGGCAGCCGCTGCTCCGGGCCTGGCCGCACCCGACCCGCCTGCTCCCCCGGGCCTGGCCGCTCCCAGCCTGGCAGCCGCTGCTCCGGGCCTGGCCGAACCAGCCCCGCCTGCTCCCCCGGGCCTGGCCGCTCCCAGCCTGGCAGCCGCTGCTCCGGGCCTGGCCGCACCAGCCCCGCCTGCTCCCCCGGGCCTGGCCGCTCCCAGCCTGGCAGCCGCTGCTCCGGGCCTGGCCGCACCCGACCCGCCTGCTCCCCCGGGCCTGGCCGCTCCCAGCCTGGCAGCCGCTGCTCCGGGCCTGGCCGCACCAGCCCCGCCTGCTCCCCCGGGCCTGGCCGCTCCCAGCCTGGCAGCCGCTGCTCCGGGCCTGGCCGCACCCGACCCGCCTGCTCCCCCGGGCCTGGCCGCTCCCAGCCTGGCAGCCGCTGCTCCGGGCCTGGCCGCACCCGACCCGCCTGCTCCCCCGGGCCTGGCCGCTCCCAGCCTGGCAGCCGCTGCTCCGGGCCTGGCCGCACCCGACCCGCCTGCTCCCCCGGGCCTGGCCGCTCCCAGCCTGGCAGCCGCTGCTCCGGGCCTGGCCGCACCCGACCCGCCTGCTCCCCCGGGCCTGGCCGCTCCCAGCCTGGCAGCCGCTGCTCCGGGCCTGGCCGCACCCGACCCGCCTGCTCCCCCGGGCCTGGCCGCTCCCAGCCTGGCAGCCGCTGCTCCGGGCCTGGCCGCACCCGACCCGCCTGCTCCCCCGGGCCTGGCCGCTCCCAGCCTGGCAGCCGCTGCTCCGGGCCTGGCCGCACCCGACCCGCCTGCTCCCCCGGGCCTGGCCGCTCCCAGCCTGGCAGCCGCTGCTCCGGGCCTGGCCGCACCCGACCCGCCTGCTCCCCCGGGCCTGGCCGCTCCCAGCCTGGCAGCCGCTGCTCCGGGCCTGGCCGCACCTGACCCGGCTGCTCTGGGCCCGGCTGCCCCGGGCCCGGCCGCTCCGAGCCTGGCCACTCCCGACCTGGATGCTCTGGGCTTGGCTACTGCTGTTCTGGGTCTGGCTGCTCCCACCCCGGCTGCTCGGGGCCCGGCTTCCTTGGGCCCGGCCACTCCGGGTCTGGGTGTTCCTGGACTGGCCACCCTGGGCTTGGCCGCCTCCGCCTCATGCCTGGCTGCCACTGCCCCAGGTCTGGCTACTCCAGTGCTGGCTGTTGATGCTCTGGTTCTGGCTGCTGTTGTTCTGGGGCCTGGCCGTTGCTGCTCCGGGTCTGGCTGCCACTGCCTTGTGCCTGGCCACTCTAGGCCTGGCCGTCGCTGTTCCAACATTCTGTCCTTTTTTTTTTCTTTTTAAAACGCATTTATGTTGCAATGTTGGCTGGTGAGTTGAGTTCTGACTTAGTCTTTGATTTTTCAAGATCTTCTTTGTATTCTTTCTTAAGTAATTTTACTATTTTTTTTGCTCTCACTTGATTTCTTCACATTGAGAACTTCTTTGGTTTCTTCCTCCTTGTCCTGGGAGCTCAGCAGGTTGGCCTGTGGCCCCCTTTGTTCTCCGCGGGCTCCTGTGCTGCTTCAGCCTGTTGCCGGGACGGCGCTGCCCAGGAAGCAGCCCCTGGCCTTGGCTCCATTGCCCGAGCTCAGTGGTCAAAGGCTCAGGGGCACCCACGCCCCCAGGGGCCCCGTGGCCCACCTCCTTGCTGGTGCCCGGTTGGCTGGAGTCCGGCAGGGGCTTCCGCTCCCCTCCGCGTTCCCCCAGCCTAGAGCTTTTTTTTTCTCCTTCCTGCTAGGGAAGTCCAGCATCAGAGTCAACAGACTGTCCTCTGCGCGCAGTTTGCGCGAGTCCCACAGACTGTCCTCTGCGCGCAGTTTGCGCGAGTCCCACAGACTGTCCTCTGCGCGCAGTTTGTGCGAGACCCGGGGGCTCGGCCTTTCGCCGCTCTCCCCAGACTCCACCTCACAACCCCGTCTCCCTCTGCCTGAGCCTGGGTCCCCAGGGATTGGCCCAGAACTGGGGTTCGGAGCAGTCCGGACTGAGGCCCAGCGCCGCCGGAGGCCTTGTTTCTTCCGGCTAGGGCAACCCAGCATCAGAGTCAACATTCAGTCCTCTGCGCGCATTGCGCGCGACTCCCGGGGCCCTGCCTTTCGCCGTTTTTCCGCCTCACAGCCCCGTCTCCTCCCGCCGGAGCCTGGGTCCCCAGGGTCTGGCCCATAACTGGGGCTCAGCGCTGCCGGTTCGGGGGGGCTCAGCGCTGCCGGTTCGGGGGTTCAGCCCAGGCTGGGGGTTTTATTTCCTTCCTGCTAGGGAAGGAAAGGCGGCTCCCCGCCCTCTCCTCCTCTCCGGCTGCGACCTCTCCGTGCGCGCGTGCGGGCGGGCAGGCGCGCGCAGCATGTCTCCGTACCTTAGGCTTTTTTTCAGCTCCTCTGATTTTCTTTCTGGTTTTCTCTTTCCTTCTTGTTGTAGAAATTTCAGTCAGTCGACTACCTGTAGCTCTGGGCAATGTCCACTCTACATTTTAGTTGTATTCCATTGAAATTGTTGTGTGCTGCCGCGGCTAGATGTCTACCCGAGCAGCCATCTTGGATCCTCTACACCACAGTTTTAAAAGCTGGTGGTGAAGCCGAGTAGCCATTAGGAGGAAGTTTCATTCCTCCTTTTCTCTACCTTTCTTCCCACTGAAATTAACCTCTATTCTGAACTTGAGATTATTCTTGCTATATATCTCTTTACTTTAGCTCTTACGTTTGTTATCATTAAACAATATGTAATATTGTTTAGCATGCTTTAATACTTTTATATATAGTTTATCTTATTCTATATATCTTTTTGTAATATGCTTTTTTAGTTTAACATTGGTTTAGAAAATTGATCCACACCGACACAAATCTAGCTCATTCATTTTCTTCCTCTAAAGTATGTCAACATATGAGTCTATCACAAGTATTTGTTCATCCTCCTGGGAAAGGAGGCTTTTGGTTGTTTCTAATTTTCCACGGTTACAGACTTTGTAGTAGTGATCATTCCACTTGTACATTATTCCTGATGCACATTTCAGTCTCATTGAAAAGTACTGTTTATTTTTTTTTAACAAATGAAGTATGTATCTTCATGGGGATTTCTTCATAAGCTCCTGAGTTCTTACTCTTTCTTTACCTGTGTTTTGTAATTGGGATCTGGGGTTTGGGATAGCATGTGTGGCCTTATATGTGTACAAAAGGTTGTAAATCTTTTCTCTTCCTGCTCCAAGCTTCTATAAGCTTACTCACATAAAAGGAATCAGTTAGCATTTCTGTATTTCTCCTAGGCAAAAACCCACAAGAGAAGCATAAAGCATTTTATAGCTGGAGGTTATAAAATCTTATGTCTGACGTCCACTAATTTTATAGAGAACCAGTTACTTCAGACAGTCCCTCTGCTCTCTGGTGTTGGGATGTTTCTGAAATACTGGTAATCTAATTAATAATCTTTCTTTTCCAATTACTCTAGGCGTGTTATTTACTAGTTTCTGTTCTGAACTAATTCTATTGTATGGTATTTTCCATACAATAGAAAAATTAACTGAAAAGTGACTTCATTATACTATTGAATCAAAATGAAACTTACCTTTCATATTGTTCAGCTTTCAGAACAATTCTTCTAGACAAAACTAGTGTAATCAGAGTAATGAAATATATTGTAATACTTCTACCAAAATAATAAGGTGGGCAAGAGTTGCCCATGAAAAGATTTTTAGGTAGAAAAAGTATAGATTGATTTTTAATTGCATCTTCCATATACAGTATAGTATCCTCCTGGTACTTTGTTAGTACCTAATGGCAGCCAGACAGGCTGTGTAGGTGTTAGCCCTGCATGATGACTCTGATTTCCAGTCTGACTTGAATGTCTTCCTTGTCCACTCTTTCTCACAAGCCTGTGCATTGGAGGAATGGGCGGAGCATGTAAAGGAAACAGAATCAACCTCTCACAGTCCCATGTCCAAACACTAGGCAACAAATGGTGCTGAGACCGCTGAACAGCTATATGCAAAAGAATAAAGGTGGACTCCTAGTTCATATCATACACAAAAAGTAATTCAAAATGGATCATAGAGCTATATGAAAGAGCTAAAACTATAAGACTTCTAGAAGAAAACATAGAGCTAAATCTTTGTGTTCTTAGGCACTAAAGCCCAAGTGCCAAATGAAAAAAAGTTAGTTGAACTATATCAAAATTAAAACTTGTATGCATCAGAGAACATCATCAAGAAAGTACACTGAATGGGAAAAAACATTTATAACATCGTGTTTGTAAATTACATGACTAACAAAGTCTTTGTATCCGGAATAATATAAACACTCTTAAACCTTAACAATGAAAAGACAGATGACTAGTTAAAAAGTGGATGTAGGATCTGAATAAATGTTTCTCTAAAGAAGATGTGCAAGTGACCAATAAGTGCATGAACAGTAGTGCAATTTTTGAAACCAGTTTGGCATTTCATAGAAAATGCTAAACATATCACCTAGAAGAGGCATATCCATAGAGATAGGAAGTAGATTAGTGGTTGCCAGGCTAGGAGCAGGGGAGAATGGTGGTGATTGCTATTGGATTTTTTTGGGGGGGTGATGAAAATGTTCTAATAACTCTAAATTACTGAAAATGTGAATTGTATACTTTAAAGGAGTTAATTTTTAGGGCAGATGAGGGTCAAACTCTGCTCATCAGCCATTACTTCAGTGGGGGCTATTCAAATCTGTGCTGCACTCTGCCCACCTCCCTCTGTGCAGATGGGGCATGTCCTCAGTGATTGCAAAAGCTATGTTAGAATACTTTTCTAAACAGTGCTAGTTGTAACTACTGGAAATATCCTTGCAAAGACCAGCTGAGATACATGAAGGTGTTTCAGGAGACTACTGACAGTTCTCTGGTGTTGGAGGAGAAGGCATCCTGAAGAGGGTTATGAGGCTAGAGAGCTGTCCATTCTTAAGGTTGTACTTTAGTAAATGGACCATGAACAGTGGGAGCTGTCAAAGGTTTGGGGCAGTGAATTGCTGGGGCCCATCTCAAGAGGAGGATTTGGACACACATTTGCCAAACTTATATTATAGAAGACAGTTCGGTAATGTGAAAGATGATTTGGAGAGAAATAAGGCTGGAGGTGGGAGACTGATGCTGTGGGTATGACCAGAGGAGGGTCTGAGCCAGGCCCATATGTCTCGGAGGCATGACATGTGCTTGGTGATCAGTGATGGATGAGTGCAGGAGAGGAGTCATGGCATTATTTATAGGTGATGGCTATACTTTGAAGATTCAGATTGTGATGGCTCATGGATGAGTGGAGCATTGGGCCACAAGGACTGAGGTTAGAGCCCCACATGAGCAATCAGGGTGACTGCATAAAGAGGGGTACAGTTCAGTAAATACCAGAAATATAAGTACATAAAAGTTTTATTTAGCATCAAATCAATCTATTCAGATTTTTACCTAAAAAATTAAAGCACTGACTATACTTGTACTCTCCAATGCCATTGCATAATGTTGCTCTAGGTGAGGAAATTGATCATGATAAGTGCCATACCTGAGAATTGTTTTGTTTTCTGAAATGCTTTTATTCTATCAGAAATAATATTTAAGTGCAGAAATTGTAAGAGTTTTCTGTCAGTCTTTGTTAATTTGGTATTTGAATGCTTGAATGTTCCAAATCTTATTTCATAGATTTATTAAAGATTGGTTTTTTTCTTTGGGTTTCTTCATATTATGATGTGAATTTTAAAAACTGTCTTAAAGATAATATGAATTATAAATCTATTACCATGTATTATATTCTTTTTATAGTATTTTATTGTTACTTTTTTCTATTTTCATTTATTTTATATTTCAGAAGCAATACACAGTTGACCCCTGAACAACACAGAGATTAGGTCTCCACATAGTCTAAAATCTATAACTTTTGACTCCTCGAAACTTAATTGTCCCTTGACATCCACTAGGGATCTGTTCCAAAACCCTCAATAGATACTAAAATGCATGACTGCTCAAGACCCCTCTGTAGAATGGCATAGAACAATGCATGTGATCCTCAGTCCCTCCCCTCCTCCTCTGCCACCCACATGTACAATTCCCAACCACAGATCAGAAACAGTGCAGATGTTTACTGAGAAAAATCTGTGCATAAGTGGACCCACATAGGTCACACTCATGTTGTTCAAGGGTCAACTATAAATTGAGGGGTAAGAAAAATCAAATATTAAAAAATAACTTTCCTTTATTTTTTTGTTTTGTAGGGATTTGTCTTGGCTGTTACTATCATGAGGGAAGCAATGGATGAATTTCGGCGTTTTCAGCGAGACAAGGAAGTGAATTCACAACTATACAGCAAGCTCACAGTAAGAGGTTAGAAAGACACCTTTAATCCAGGTCACCATTTGTCTAATGTAATCCTCATTTTAGAGTGTACATAAACGAAAGAAAACATGTCTTAATTCTGTTACCGAAAATAGTATTATGTGATTGCATATGGTATCTAATTTCTTTGAATAGTCAGGACATTCACAAGTGCCTTGTTTACTGGGGAAATTTGAAAGCCACTTTCAGAGCTGGACTGGACACATGCTCAGAAAAGACCTGAGAAGGTCTTTTGCCTCTGGCCAATGTCTGGGCTCAGTACAAGCAGAGATGCAGCCTAAGGCCAAGTTATAAACAACCTGGCTAAGTGCTAGAGTCCTCAGCACACAGCCTATCTGCACAGATACTCCCTCCCTCTCTGCTTTTCCTTCTTCCTTCTCCTTCCCCCTCTTTATATTTTCACTCATTCCCCCTCTCTCTCCCCTTCACTATACTCCTCTACCTCCCCCCCTTTCTTAGATTCAAGGAAATCTCTTTCAGAAACCACATATGACAGAGAATACACACTTTACAAAAATGAGTTTAGCAACGTCACTAAACATACAGCTACAGCATTTGACAAGAAATAAAGTGTAGTCTGTTCATAGAAGACATTAAGAAAAATTATTTCCAAGGATTTACTAGATAAGGATTAAATCATTTGCCTTAAATATGCTCAGGGAGCTAAAGCAAATGAATTGCTAAAAGATATTAGAAGAATGATGTGTTAACAATTACAGAATGTCAATAAAAGTATAGAATGATTGAAAAAGAAGCGAAAGGAAAATTCTGGAGTTGAAAAGTACAATTAATTACAAAGAAAAAAAAATCACAAGTGAGTTTTAGTAGCAGATTAGAGTAGTCAGAAGAAACTATCAATGAACTTGAACCTGGGTCCTATGAAATGTCCAGTCTTAGGAGCAGAAGGAAGAATTAGAAAAATAAATAAATCTTAGGAGACTTATGGGATGGCAGCAAGTGTGCTAATGTGCACATAATGAGATCTTAGGAGCAGAGGAGAGAGAAAGTGTAGAAAAATATTTGAAGGAATAATGATCATTAACTTCCCAAACTTGATAAAGGACATGAATCTATAGATTCAGAAAGTGTAACCCTGGAAAGGCAAATTCATGGAGAGCCTCACTGAGACATGTTTTAGTCAGACTATGTTGAAACCCAATGACCAAGAGGACATTGAAAGCAGCCACTTATCACATAAAAGAGGAGGGGTCCCCAGTAAGAAGATGAAAAATCAGCAGGAGGAGCATGGCAATATTTTTAAAATAGTAAAATAAAAAATTGCCCATCAAGAATTCTGTATTCATAAAAAAAAGAAGAATTCTGTATTCATTCAGTAAAATTATTCAAAAATGAGGGCAAAATTAAGGCATTCTCAGATAAACTTAGAATTGGAAATAGGAACTCAAGAAAATTTACACATGCCCATGTTCACTGCAGCACTATTTACCATTGCCAAAGGGTGCTACTTACAAACCACATGTCCATTAGTAGATAAATGGATAAACAAAATTTTGTTGTATTTGTGCACCTGAATGTTATTAAACCAGCACATTTGATTAAGATGAGATATGATAGGACATGATTGAACTTTGAGAATACCATGCTGTATGAAAGAAACTAGACACAAAAAGTCACACACTGTATGGTTTCATTCACAGAAATGTACATGGGGATAGTAAGCAGATCGAGTTTGTTGTGCCTGGGGTGGTAGGGGAGTGGGTGTGAAGGTCCCTTCAGTGGTGATGAATGTTTTAGAACTTGATGGAGTTGGTTGTGGGATACTGTATGTACTGAGGGCCACTGAACTATCCATGTTAAAATGGCTGATTTTTTATATCAATTTCACCTAAAAATGGAACATAATGCTGAGAAAAACATACTAATATTATGTCTTTCACACTTCCGAGATGTTTGAAGTAAAAATATGTTTAAAACATTTTTTATTAGAATTATTTTAAGTACTCTAGGAAATACATCTTTTAAAAAATTGGTCATTGATACTGGTGATCCATGAATTTGACATTTTTCATGAAGTTAATGATAATTTTTGTTATTTTTGACTTTCTTATGTGTGTCAGATAATATTCATAATATGCATTTGCATAATCACCATCCAAGGGAGGTTGGTATTACCTCCAGGTTATAGATGAGAAACCTGAGGCACATGCTGAACGAGCTGCCCTGTTAGGTGCTTTAGATCTCGGATTTGAACCTGGGCCATTCTGACTCTAAGCCTAGTGTTCTTTCATCTGCAGTGCATTGCTTGGTGGCTGGTTATTTTGATGCAAATAATTGACAAAGTCTAGAATGTAAAAAAAATACAGAGTTATGCTTATAGGACATAATTTAACATTTATTTTGTTGTCAAGAGTGTTTGCCACTCAGCTTCTTAATTTCTAATATTTCACAGTTATCTATTCTTTGAATGGCATTGATGATTACTCTTGTGTAATTGACTGGTTTGATGTAGTATCATATTTACAACATTTGAACTTTTTATATTAGGAGTTCTTAAGCACACTCTGTAGAACTACACTGGGAAAACGTCCTGTAGTTTGCTTTTTGTTTTTTAAAGGAAAGCCACTTCTATTTCAAGTCTGTTACTGTCTTAAAGGTGCTTTGTTTGGAAGCAGAGACTACTTTGACTAATAGATGATCTAAATGAATACTGGAATACTTTAGTTAGCCCTTTGTTTTATTGCCCGAGAAGCTGCTTTTCTTGTGTGGGAATTTTCCATGTCTGCCACTGCTCTTTTCCTTCCTTCTCCTTGTTTTGACTGCATTTATTATTCACTGTCTTCTAATAGACAGCGTCAGAGGCAGAGGCAGGGAGGAGAGCATGAAACAGGTGCTCCTGGGTGTTGGCAGTTTTTGCAAAGTTCCTGATGAAGAGCAGTATAAATTGTGTGGCCATTCTATTTTCACATTCTTGGAATCAATGCAATATTTTTTCCTACTTACAGGGAGAGGTGTATAAATTGAATGTCTTGGTAATTATCCAGTTGGCTAGTTCACAATTCAATTCCACAAATATTTACTAAGTATTCACTATGTCTTAGGCACAGTGATAATCTCATGGGATTCAAACATGAATAAGTCCTGAACTGTGCTTCTTAAAGAGCTTATGCAGTATTCTAGCAGAAAGGATAAACTTGGAGGTCTTTGTGTATTTGTATTTATTTTAATCAGCCACCAAATCTCAGCAGGGTTCAGTCATATCAACCACTATCTGTGTATTTTCCAATGTTATAGCTAAAGCTAACATGAAATAATATATTTAGGAATGGAGTTTATTAGGAATGGTATTACTCTGTTCTATGTTTTGTTTTGTTTTTGTGATAGTTGTTTTCCAGTATACCTTAACTTTTCTTTTTAATAGAGAAGGAAGTCTGCTGTCTTTGAACCTTATGTAAATTGTGTGTGAGAGAGGTTGTGGAAGGACATGTCCATATTTACATGTTTCTTATGTTCCAGCCTCCTTCCAAAAGAAGCCTTGTTCACAGGGAGTACAAAAAGGGACTGTTCTCTGTTGCGTGGCTTGGAACCCTATCATCAGTATTGTGTTGTTGCTACTTGTAAAACTCTTAATCTGTTCTTTTATAGTTAAAAAATTTATAAAATGTCTCTGAAATTTTGTGATCTTTTAGTAAAATTTACTTCATTTGTGAGTTATAATTATCCCTTTAAAAATCAAAAGATTTTTAAATCCCTCTTTAGTGTCTCTTACATATTGTTTATGCATTATACATGCTTTCATGGGGAAAATAATAAATGTAACTGATTTTATGAGTTACTATATTTTCTACTTGGCAAGAAGGATTTCGTTTTGTGACAGTCATATCTGAAGATAGTTTTTTTTTTTTAATAGTATACTCAAGTGTCAGCTGAATTTCCCCATCAGAAAGTGCTTAGCAGCTGATGCACTTGGAAGTAATCAGAGTTGATTGCTACGATCCGTATGCAGAGAAGCAGTGATGACTCTTCGCACGTTATTGATGTGCTGTCATCTCTTGTTCGTCCACTCTTGTGACAGCACAGATGAAATACAGCCCTGGATACTGGGGAGTCATTTGTGGATGTTTTATTTTATGTAGTCAAAGCAGTGCTTTGGTGCACATGCTCAGCTTTTCACATATTCATCTCATATCCTCCCTTTTGTGAAGTAGACTTAAGTCATCTTTCTTGCCTGTGGTATGAGCAGCATTTGAAAATAATCCATTCCAGTATTTTTCAAGAATATTTAGCAAACATTATTGTGTTTTTACTATACAATGATATTTATTGCCTGCTGTATATGTCAGGCACAGGCACACACTTAAGATTTACTATTTAATTTGTTTAGGACCGGATATGTATTTTTAGGACTAGGTACATGTAGGCAGGAGTAGATGTATATACCCATTACCACATGACCAGTATGTTTTTCCAGCTCACCCTAAGATAATCTATGAATTAATTTCTTCATGATACTCATACATTGGTTTTTATTACATCGTTTGGGGATGAGGGTCTGGAATACCTGAAATATGATTAAAATCACTTGCTGACTAACACAGAGCCTCTTCTCACACATTTAAGGGCTGCGTGTGTATGTCTGGTAGCATCTGGTATTTCCTTTTGGTGACTGGTGTTGCTTTGATCATGCTGTCTGTCGTTGGTATCTCAGCTCCGTGTGCACAATTGCTGTTTCCTCAAGGCTAAGCAGAGTAATTGGCACATGTAGGCACTCAGTAAGTGCAATATTAAGTAAATGAGGAACTTCCAGGTCAGATATGAAAAGTTTTCGTCCTGATAGATGTTGTCAGTGAGCTGCCAGTAAGACTACAACAGCTGTACGGCATGTGGGTCACCTGACCCATGCACCCCTCACCTGCTGTCCTGGCCCACTTGAGATAGAATGCTCTTTAACCCACCAGCTTGATAGGTGAAAAAGGTTCTCATTTTGCTTACTTTTAGCATTTCATTGTTTGTTTTTAATCTTTTATACAAGTTTATTCATTTTTACCATTTTCACTTTTTTGCCTTGTTATAATTTCTTTATAAGAGAAGTTTATAACATGAAAAATATATTTATCTTGTTTGATTAATTTTTAATATCTGTTTTAGATGTAGGTAAACTTATAATTTTTATGGAAGCAAACCTTTTTTAATTTTTTAAAATTTTAACTGTAGATAGTTCTTTTAACCCCAATATAGTGTAGATATTTTTGTTTTCTAACAATGTTGCAATTTTATATTTAAAGTATGTATTACATTGGGATGGGGTCTAACTTTTCTTTTTTCCCAAATGGTCAGTTAAGTTGTTTTAAAACCAGTTATTAAGTTCTTTTATCAGACCTTTGAGAAATATGTAGATTCATTTGGGCCCTTTCCTCTGCTTTCTGTTCTGCTTTACTGATTCTTCCAGATGTCCATGCCAGTTTTAAGAAATGTTCCTTCATGGAACATTCTAGTAGCTTGGGAAACCTCTCCTCCCTCCTTAGCTCCTTCCTTCACTGGTTATTTTTCTCTTTCATTTTTTTTCTTATTTTCTTTGAGTAACATGAGACACTATAAATATAAGATTATTTGGACATTTTCTTCTTGCTCCTATGTTCGACCAATGACATGGAACCCTTAGCAGGAGCCTGACGCAGTCCTGCTGTCTCCATCTATTGATTTTTCTCCTCCCACCAGGGCGCATACCAATCTCCACACTCAGGAGTAATTGAGAAGGAAGCCATCACCGTATAGATTATTGAACATAGAGGAAATAGGAACTACGGACAATTTCAAACTAAGGCTGGCTCGTATTCCTCTCGATGCTGGTATAACCACACAGACTCATGTAGGAGGACATTGGTGGAAGTGTGCATTTATAAGCCCATGAGAGAGGGAGACCACTGCATCTTCTGATTTTAGTCGCTGAGAGTCTTAGAGCCATTTATATTACAGTCCTTTTGGTAGATATTTAAGAGACCTGTCTAGCTGCAGAAAACAGACATTACCAACTTCCCTTAGATAGATAGTGGTGCGCTTGACCAAGACTTGAAGGGTGTCTCTATTGTCTAATACCATCTAATGTTTATTTGTACCTATTAGTTGATAAAACAGTTTATCTTGAGGTACATATTAACTTTTTCAAATTGTATACTTTTCTAAATATTTATCTGGTGAATGCAGTGGATTGCTACTGGTACTTATTTTAGTATTTAGTTCTGCATATCACATTGGTAGGTAACAGAGTCTGGGTGTGTAGCCTCTAGGCAGCCTCTCAGGCAGTTTCTGGACTCTGCTGGTCATTACACAGTGGTGTGGACTGTTTTAGCAAGTGAGACTAGAGGGGAAGTGGTTGGCTAGCACAGCTGATCCAGTGAATAACAGTCTTTTATCTTTAAATGTTTCTTAAAATACTGTAATATATTATTACTAGAGGCCCAGTGCACGAAATTCGTGCACTGGAGGGGTGTTCCTCAGCCTAGCCTGCACCCTCTCCAATCTGGGACATGCCTCTCACAATCCAGGACTGCTGGCTCCCAACTGCCCTCCCCAGGAGGCCTGGTTCCCCTCCCTCCAACTTCCCTCCCCTTCAGGTCTGGTCCCCCTTCCCCACCAACTGCCTTCCCCTGCAGGCCTGGGTCCCCCCCAACTGCCCTCCCTTGCAGGCCTGGATCCCCTCCCCCTCCGCAACTGCCTTCCCCTGCAGGCCTGGGTCCCCCCCAACTCTCCTCCACTGAAGGCTGGTCCCCCCACCCCAACTGCTCTTCCCTGAAAGCCTGCCCCCTAACTGCCCTCCCCCGCTGACCTGGTCCCCCTCAACTGCCCTCCCCTGCTGACCTGGTCCCCTCAACTGCTCTCCCCTGCTGACCTGGTCTCCCCCAACTGCCCTCCTCTGCCATCCCTCTCTCTCTTTCTTTCTCTCTCTTTTTCTTTCTCTCCTGAATGAGGATATGATTTTGCCCATTTCATTCCCACTTTTATCCCCAGCACATTCTGGGAAAGAGGGCCTAAGCTCTGAGTGACATTAAGCAGAAGCCTGTGCAGCTGCCCAGCTTCAGCAGGGTTGGTCGCTGCCCAGGACTAGTATCATGTGACTTGGTCTGTGTACTCATCAGTGAACTTATGGAGCCTCGAATGTTCATCTTGTGCATTGTAATTACTATGCACATCCTCTCTCTGCCCCTTGCCCTTCTCACTGCTGCTCAGGATTTAGGTTCCTTCCTCAACCACACCTTTTATTTCTAAACTTCTTACTGAGAATGGCTCATCTCTGAGGGTCTTGTTTCCTCTGCAGTGGCTGTGCTTCTCTATAGCCTTGGGTCCACTTGACCTGGAGGCGGGGTCTCTTCCTGTCTCTACAGCTTCTTCTCTTTGTACCTGCCTCCAGCTGATTCAGACACCAGTCCATTGATCTTATACCTTAGCACTTTCTTGCCCCTTTGATGTTCTAGTTCAGTGGTTGGCAAACTCATTAATCAATAGAGCGGCAAACTGTGGCTCGAGAGCTGCATTTTGCCGACCTCTGTTCTAGTCGATTAAGTCCAGTTTATCTTTTTTTAAAAAATAAAAAAACAAAAATGAAGGCTTGTGGTATCCTAAGAACTATTTACCCAACTCAAAGATTTTCTGTTATATTTCTCCTATGTTTCTTCTTCTTTTTTTTTTTTTTTTTTCAGTTTTAGGCTTTACATTTATATATCCATCTTGTGTAAATTTTTATATCAGTGCAGTGTATAGGTCTGAGTACTTTTCTTGCATGTGGATGTCCCATTGTTTCTAGCACCATTTGGGGAAATAGTAATTATTTCCCACTGCATTGCCATACACTTTTGTCAAAAATAAGTTGTCCTTCAAGAGTGGGCTTTTTTCTCCTTTCACTCCATTGATATTATATATTTGTCTATCTTTATGCTAATTCCATGCTCTTTTGATTACTATTGGTTTATAGTAATTCTTGAAATCAGAGATTGTTTACCCTCCAACATGGTTTTTTAATTCCACAGTTGTTTTGGCTAGTGTATGTTATTTGGATTTTCATATGACTTAGAATCCATGTTCATGAAAAAACCTGCTGGGATTTTGATTGGGATTACTTGAATCTGTAGATAAATTGGGGGAGAGTTGATATCTTAATAATATTAAGTCTTTTGACCCATGAAAGAGATATATTTCTCCCTTTATTTAGGTCTTTTAAATATTTCTCATCAATGTTTTGTGTGTTTTTTCAGAGTACAAATCTCTTTTAAGTAGCTTATGTTATGTGAAGGAATAATAAGTTTCCCAGGAATGTAAAATCTTGATTAAGAAGTCAAAAAGGATATGTTTTCTATGTTTTAAAATATTTAAAAATATTTCCTGCATTTATTGCATCTTTTATGTCTGCAGCTGTTCATCTCTCTCCTCTTTGTGTCTGTTACAGAGAGTGTGAAATAGAAGGAAGGGGAAGAGGAGTGTGTATTAGGAATAAAAAGAAAAGTGAAATATAGGTCGTGGTGCGGGGTTCTGCTGAGGTCAATGAGGGATATTCACTGCCTGGGGCTTAGCTGTAAAAACAGAACAGTGGGAGTACAGACAGGTAGCTTGAAGGGACCAAGGGAAAATAATTTAAATAGACAGTCTTTTGTGGCTAGTTTTTGGCTAATAATAGACATATACTTATCAGTTGTAGAGATATTTTAAGATTTGTTACATATGTAATTCTAAAGAACATTGCTATTTTATGGTATGAATACAAATAGGCTCCACCCACCAAAAATAGCTCCAGCCTTATGTGTTTATTATATAATTGAGGAACATGAAAAATATAGCAACATTTACAAAGCTTATTGATATCCTTCAGACAAATCATTAGGAACTAGTTTAATATTATTGAAACTCAGCTGCTTGAAGAGGTATTTAGGAAATAAGGTTTTAAAATAAGTTGAATGTGGTCTAAAAGTCAGGGGAATGATCAGTAATATTAGTTGTGAAAATGCAATGTGAACTTTTCCTCTGTTCTATTAGCTTTCAGAATAAACTGAATGTAAAAGAAAAGGACCTTTCTTCATATTAAAACAGTAAAAGTTGTTGCTGGTCCTAAAAGGGAAACAGACAGGGCGAAGGAGACTGTCAGGGAGTCAGGGAGGGGAGTGAGAAACAGAGATGGAGGAAGATAGGGAGGCTGGGCCCAGAGACATAGGAAATGAAAGAACTTGGTGTTTTAAAATGCCTATATAATGTTTTATCTACTCTATGTGATATGAACATTGTGATGTAGATGTTATATGTTAACTGCTATACATGATTAGCACACACCAGCTATCATGTAAGTATTGTTTGCACAATATAGCATGGGGAAGAACCACTTTTCATAATAAATCTGTGGTCCTGACCTGTATCTGTAAAAGCTTCTGGTGAAGGGTGATATTCTCTCATCTTCTCTTTCTTTCTGTTGCTTCTTTCTGTTAGTCATGTGCCAGTCAATGCCATTCCCAGGTTGTATAGTAAGGACTGTACATCTCCATCTGACTCAATTTCTGTCACCACATTATTTTATTTAATGATATTTCTGATCATTCTATCTTGACTCACACCTGAAATAATGGCAGATTGGGTAGCAACCTTCCACATGGAATCCTCTCCCACATTCCCACACGGTTTTTATTGGGGGTGGTTAAATTGTACTTGGGAGTTAACTAAGAGAAGTTAATTTTTAGTGACTGTGTCTATCTGAAATATTTATTTTGAAAGTATAAGTAGAGATGCATTATATAAAGTTTTCCCCCCAAAAGTTATTTCTAAAGTATTGCTTATCAATTGCAAGTTTAACTCTGGTGTGCTATTGTTTCCTTGAGTTGATTATACTTCTTCTTTTTTTCAAGGTAAAGTGCAAGTTCAGAGTTCAGACATACAAGTTGGAGACCTCATCATAGTGGAAAAGGTTGATGCATTTTCAATATATTTCAGACTTGTCTATACCACTTATTAACATTTAGCCTGATTGCAAGTAACTTTCGAATATAAAGAAAATTGAGACATTCATTTTCAATCTTAACATCATTGTGTAAGATTTGCTCTACATGAAGAAACATCTAGTTTTTTTTGTGTAGTCTGTTTTGTTAAAGTACATTTCAATGTGCATAGATGACGTCATATTTTGTCTAAAATAAGACGTGTCAACTGCTTAATATTACATTATCAGTATTATTTCATGTGACCAAAAACTTTCAGCTTCTAGAACTCCCAATTACAAATAGATATACAGGCAGCCCTCGAGTTATGTCAGACTTGATGTATGTCATTCCATGGTTACATTGCCATCTTTTATTTATTTATTTTTAAAAAGTTCCATATGTATTTATGTGCTTTATGTTTTTTATTATTTATTTACCACAAGTAAAGGTCAGGAATTGTTATCTTTCTTTTTAAATTTTTTTTTACTGTTTTACTTTATTACTGCTATGTATGTACTCGATGTGAGTGATGTAAGTGCTTATGTAGATGGATTCCTACTTACTGCGAAAATTGCATTACATCACACTGTAGGAATGGCTCTCCGACGTAACCCGAGGACCTCTATATTACACATAATTATTGGATATTAATTCTTATGGTTAATAAGAATTCTTATGGTTAATAAAACTTAAAGAAGGAAAGGTTAATGGAAGCAAAAGAGATTAGAAAGAAAAAGTTTAGGTCTGTATAGGAAGAGACCACATTGGCAGAGGAGGAAATCGCTGGGCTGCTGGTGGATTGGGGTGTAACCCAGTGGTAGTTGTTTCTCATTCACAGTCTTCCCTGAAGAACAGTGATTCAATGGGCAGTCTTTTTTTTTTTTTTTTTTTTTTAATTAAGGCTCAGGAACACTTTTAAAAATATATTAAATAAGTTTTTGAAAAGCCTCTTACAGAGTAGTGTGAGCCCTTAGTGCCAGTTAGCGTGCAGGCCACATAGGAGCAGAGCAGTCTGAGCCATCTGTGCAAGATACTTAGTATAAGAAAGTCATCCTCCTCAAGACACTGCTACAGTAATCTGTACTGAGAATGATCGGGGTGTGTTTGATTTGACAAAACTAGATGAAATTAAACAGACTGATTTGCAACTTATTTACATAGTATTCATTTTATATGGATGCTATAAGTCACTAATTTTTTATCCTTTCTTAGATTTTCAGGTGGTTCCTACTGTAAAGTGCTACAGTGAACATTCTTGTACGTTATTAATATATCTTTGCACATTTCTGTAAGACAAATGGTAGTCATTTAAATTTTGATGCAGTTCTTTAAAACATCATCGTTGCCTCACAGTTTTTGTGGTCAGGAATCTGGGTGCAGCTTAGCTAGGTCTTCTGGTTCCAGGTCCCTCTCAAAGCTACAGTCAAGGATCCATCAGGTGACTGTCACCTTCAGGGCCCACTGGGCCTATTGGCAGAACTTGGTATTGTGTTGGACTTAGGACCTCAGTTCCAGGGACTTTGGTTCGAGGCCTTTCCCATTTCATGCCAGATGGACCTCTCTACAGGGTAGCTCACAGCCAGCTGCCAGGGAGCAGGTGACAGCAAGCTGGCTGCATGGATTCCTGGCTGTGAGACCTGGTCCCATCGCCTTCAGTTTTCTTTTCACTTTTAAAAGTCTGCCTTGTGTTGTGGGGTTGAAAACTGGGGTAAAATATGTGAATCCTCTCTTATTTTCAGTACCATCCATGATAGGAATGGAGGGAATCACTTTATTCTTATAAAAATCATCTGTAAAAGCCTCTAGCTGGCATCACCCTCAGTGCATGTCAGATGCCTTTCTTCTGAGATTGGGCACAGGGCAGGTGTTTGCTCCTATCACGCTTACTCAGCTCGCATTTCTAGCCACTGAATAAGGCAAGTAAAGGAAACAGAAGGAATTCAGATTGGAAGGGAAGAAGTAAAAGTGCTCCTATTTACTGATAACAGATTGTGTATGAAGAAAATCCCATGTGATCTATTAAAAAGAAAACATCTCAGAACTAAAGAAAGTTCAGTAAGGTGGCAAATTATAAGATGCACATTCAAATGCCACTGCCATTTTTATATTCTGACAATGAACACGTGGAAACTGAAACTAAAAGTGCAGTGCTCTTAGTCTCTTCTGTGGAAACACAATCTTAGCTATGCTGGAGATAATGTATGTTCAGGAAAGTGATCAAAGGTCTGAGTAAAGGTACATTATAATCTTGGACTGTAACATTCCACAGCTTCCCCAAAATTGATTTGTACGTTTACGGTAATACACTTCCTATCAAAATCTTAACAAGGTTTTGTTTGCTTGCTTTTTAAACAAAATAAGCTTATTTCTAAAACTAATTTGGCAAGGTCCAGGCCCTAAAGTGGCTAAAATAGTCTTGGCAAGGAGAGTAAAGAGGGAAGAACCACTCTTCCCAAAGTTAAGGCTTCCTACCTAGACACATTAATAGCATGGTGTGGAAGGAGAGAACCAAGATCAATGAAACATTAGAACCCAGAAATAGACTCACCCAGGTGTGCTCAAGGGTGTTTGACAGAATGCAAAGCAGCGAAAGTAGAGAAAAGCCAGCCTCCCGGAGAATGAGGCTGGAGCCGATTGGCATCTGTGGATAAAAAAGAACCTTACTCTTAAGTATTACACTTTATACCAATGTTAAGTCAAAATGGATCATGGATTTCAATGTAAACTAGAACTGTAAAAATTTAGAAAAACATAGGAAAAATATTCAGAATCCAGGGCAGGAAAGTAGCTCTTAGACTGGACATCAAAAGCACAATGCATCAAAGATAAAAACATTGATAAATTGCATCTCATTAAAATGAAAAACTGTGCTTAGTGAAAACACATGTCAATATGATGAAAAAACAACCTGTAAAGTAGGAGAAAATATTTGTACACCACATCTGACAAGGATTTGTACCTAGATTATGTAAAAGCCGTTAAAAGCCAATAGGTTAAAAAAAAAATCAAATTAGAAAATGAACAAAAAATATAAAGAGAAATTCACCAAAGAAGATACATAGGTAGAAAATAAGTACATGAGAAGATACTGTGTCATTGATCACCTGAACTGTAAATTAAAGCAATGAACTATCACTACATATGTAGCAGAATGACTGCAATGAAAAAAATGGTGCCAGCAACAAAAACTATAATTATGTGAAAAGTGGATTACTGGTATATTTCCTTTGGGAATATCAGATGTTATAGTTATTCTGAAAAATCATTAAGTCTCTTAAGAAGCTAAATATGCAAATATTATGTAACCCAGCAATTGAACTGTTGAACCTTTATCACAGAGAAATGTTAACTTAAGTTGGCACAAAAGCCTATCCATAAATGTTTATACCTTCATTATTCATAATAACAAAAAACCTGAAACAGCCCCGATATCCTGACTGGGGATGATTAGAGAAACTGTTGTCCATCAGTTCATCCTGCATCGCATGAAGGAGGTAGAGGTCCTACTCTCTTGGTGCTCATAGTCTTGAGGAGAGGGAAAGATAAAAAGTATTTAATAAGCATTTGGAGTTATCAAGTTTATTTATGGGTGACTCATAGAAAATGAAACATGATAAGGTAATAAAGAGTAATGGTTTGGAGATACAATTAAATAAAGAATTTCATTAACAATAGTATAAAAAATAAAATACTTATAAATAAAATAAAATCATTTTTCAAGAATAAATGAAGTACAAAACATATTTCAAAGCTATAAAAATTGTGGAAGCATGTTAATAGATCTAAGCACATGGAAAGACATTCCATGTTTGTTGATTAGAAGCATTAATATTGTTAAAATGGCAACACTCCCTAAATTGACCTATAGGTTCAGGCTATCCCTCTCAACTTTTCAGTTGACTTCTTTGCAGAAATTGACAAACTGATTCTTAAATTTATATGGAAATGCAAAGTTCCCAGACTAGCCAATATAATTTTTAAAAATTGAACAAAATTTGAGTAGTAATGCCTTTCATTTCAAAACCTTAAGCAAAGTTATGGTAATCAAGTCAGTGAGGACCTGGCATAAATTCAGAGTTGAGAGTCCAGAAATTAAAAATATTCAATGGGATTGGGGTATGATTGGATGGGTGCTCTTTTTTTTTTTTTTTTTGCCTAGTATAATTAATGAGATTCTTCCATTTTGCTGTGTGTAACTATAATTCATTTGCTTTGTTGTTACATTGTATGCCTTTTGACCATTCTGCTGATGATGAATGGTCAGTTGCTTTTAAGATTTCCCTATTGGGACTTTCGTTTCTGTGGTGCCATGCCTGGGCTCACCTGTGCTGCTGCATTTGTGCCTGAGCTGGAATTGTTGGATGTTGGGTATGCGTATGTTCCACATTTAGTACTGCAAAGGGTTTGCAAAGTGATGTTTCAAATTATACTGGAATCGGCAATGTGTAAGACTTCCCATTGCTCTACATGTTTGCCAACACTTGGCATCATCTTTTTAATTTAGCATTTCCAATATGTATCTAGCAGTTGTGGTTTTAATGTGCATTTCTTTGAAGACTAATAAAGTTGTACACCTTCTTGTGTGATTTTGGATGTCTTTCTTATTTGGAAAGAGCCTGTTAACATTTTTTGCCATTTTCCTTCTCTCTCTCTCTCTCTGTCTCTCTCTCTGTCTCTCTCTCTTTTTATATAAATCTTTATTGTTGAAAGTATTATATATCTTTCCTCCCCTCACTTGCCCTCTCTTCCTTCCTCCAACCCCCCAAGCCTTCACCATCCATTGTCTTTGTCCTTGGGTTATGCATATACACGTGAGTTTCTTGATTAGAAGGAAGAGATCAACTGATCAGCCATTTTCCTTATGAGTTAGACTTTCTTTTCTCATCCCTTTATGGTCTTTATGTATTCTGGATGTGAGTTCTTTATGTTGCAGATATCTTTTCCTTCCTGATGTGCTTTGTTGAAAAAAAAATCCTTAATTTTAATGAAATCTACTTCATTAATTTTTGCATTTATAGGTGTGTCATTTTGTAAAAAACATTTTGGTGATGGGGAAGGAGTCTTCTTCCCTTCCAAAGTGTTGTAAAAATATTCCTCTATATTATTGTTCAGGAGTCTTATTGTTTGGATTTTGACATTGAGAAATATAATTCATCTGGAATTGATTGTGTTTTGCTTGAAGTAGAGATCGGGTATTCTTCCTCCCTGTAGGTCTCTAATTTTTTCAACACTATTTCTTAAAAAGACCATCATGTCCTAATAGGTCTACAGTTTTATCTTCCTCCTAAATATGGAGTCTTTCCATGTTTGGGATTCCTTCTGGAGCCTGCACTTTACATTGGTGTAATTATCTCTCTGTTAAATGCTACTTTGATCTCATGATTCTATTTTAGTATTTTTGTTTTGCTATATTATGAACTCAACTCTCTGTTTCTGACATTTGTCATGGTTGTTCTTTTGCATTTCCTGTAAATATTAGCAATACCTTGTTAATTCCCAAAAAACATGGCAAGATGTTGGTTGGGTTTGTGTTGAATATATAGGTCAATTTATTAACACTTGGCATCTTTGCAATACTATACATTCTAGTTTTGAAACCTGATATATTGTATTTTTATTAGGTTTTATTTAATTTTAGTAATATTTAATAGTTTTTTTTATAGAACTCGCCAATCTTTTATTAATTTATTTTTATTAGTTTTTTTCTTAGTACTGAAATGGGAATATTTGAAAAATATTTATTTTCTTGCTATTTGTTACTGATATATATGAATATATGTTTGTATGTGTATATACATATATTTGTTTTCTGTGACATTAATTTTTATTCCTATATTTGTTTACATCCTTGTACTTTCTCTGTGGATCATTGGCTGTTTGTTTGTTTTTTTCTGCTTTCAAATGGACATTTACCTCTTTGACCCTGTGTTTTTAACATCTCTGTTTTATTATGTGCTTTTACTTGTATACATTTTCCTCTTCACACTTTCCTGACTTTGGCTGTGTTCCACATGTTTTGATGTGTTGAGATTTTATTACTCTTCAATTTAAAATATTTTCTAATTTCCATTGTGATTTCTTCCTTGACCTAGAAGCTCTTTTGATATTAATAATTACCCTTCTTTCTTCATGTTAGAAAGAGGTAGCTCTATCCTACAACATTTTTTTTTTCTGTTTTAACAACTTTTATTTATTTTTATTGCCTGCTGACTGACAAATAATCCATTTTATATATCGTGTAGGAAAATCTTTATGAGGTCTCAAAAAATATAAATAATTCATGAAATTATGAGATGTATTCTTATAATTTTTCTTTAGCTTTATTGAGTTATTAGTAATAATGATTAAATGTATGGTTAGTAATTTATAAAAGTTCTTATGTGCCATACAATACGTTTCAGTTATTTTTCCTTTTCTGCTTTATAAAAGAACACCTCTTCAAATTTGTGGAATTTATTTTCATTTATTCAGTTTTACATTCATTCATTTAAAACAGTGGTTCTCAACCTTTTTAATGCCCTGACCCTTTAATACAGTTCCTCATGTTGTGGTGACCCTCAACCATAAAATTATTTTCGCTGCTACTTCATAACTGTAATTTTTTTACTGTTAATGAATCATAATGTAAATCCCTGTTTTCCAGTGCTCTTAGGCTCTACAAAATTACAGTTATGAAGTAGCAACGAAAATAATTTTATGGTTGGGGGGAACTGTATTAAAGAGTCGCAGCTTTAAAAAGGTTGAGAACCACTAATTTAAAATTTATTAAGTGTTTTATTTATGATATGTTCTGTTTTGTATGAGGCATTGTAAGAATGTTATCCCCACTTTCTTGGGTCATTTACTCTAATAGGGAAGATATAATTTTTTTATAAGGTAATAACTTCTGTATTATGAGTTAAAGTACAACAGAGGCCACAGAAATGGCAATGTTTAACATTTCTCAGAAATGGAGCAGTTTTCAAGCCATCACTAATACCATTTACATGGTACATTAATGGGGGGGAAATCTTAAAAGTCCAACTAAAATATGAATCAAAATATTCACTTTTTAAGTACAAATTTTAAATGTGAATTGCTTCAACATAAATTTTAATTTAACCTTTTCATTATTTTACTAGCTATTTCTGTTTTGGAATGGAGTTGTGTTAATTTATAAACTGCATATAGATAATTAACATTTTATATTACTCTTTACAGAATCAAAGAATTCCATCGGACATGGTATTTCTTAGAACTTCAGAAAAAGCAGGTATTTTTATTTACATTGTTGATGATTTGGTATTTTGGCAGTTTAATTTCCAATTTATAAGGGAAAATATAACAATTTTTTTTGAATAATAAATGATTTAACTCATTAATTTCTAAGTTACATTTAACTGTTAATATTTAACACAATGATTTACTGTATAATACGTTTATTTAAAAAATATAATCTATATATCAAATAAGTGCTATCATTCATATCCATATTGGTATCTAAATAATTAGATGATGTTATTGGAAATTTTATTGCTGTTCTGCATTTGCAATTTTATTAATTCAGCAAACATTTACTTACCACTTATTATATTCCAGGCACTATGTGGTGCTTATGATATAAAAGAGAGCAAAACCAAATTGCTCCTCTTAGAAATCATGATCTGTATTTTTGGTAGTATACACATTGACATTAGTAATTCTCTGTTTTGTGTAGATACTGTAAGAGTGAAAAGAAATATGGGGAGATGGAGTTGAGAGAGACCAGACCATTTGCCTAGCTGAGTTGAAGTGGGCTTCCCAGAAAAAAAAAAAGAAAAAAAAAAGAAAAGAAAAGATATTTGCATGACCTAACCTTTTAAGTTAGAAGGATAGAAAAGGGGTATGAGAGGTAATAATATGGAAGCCTCTTATGGTCAAGAAAACTGTTGTTGGGAATCAGGAAACCTAAAATATAGTCTGCTTTGGTCAGTTTCAAATTATATGCCCTAGCCACGAGGAAAATACATTTTCATCATCTGTAAAGTCATGGGAGGTTTATCAACTACTATCCAAAGTTCTTTCTGCCTTACATCTCTTACTTTGTTGAATAAATGAACAATATTTTTATAGGAAGCTGAGCATATTATTATTTTTTTTGTAAGCTTAGCACATGTATTATTCTATGCAGCACAAAAACTCTAGAAAGGACAGAGTTACATTTTATAGTTGCTGATTTCATTTTTTCCATTTACAAACAGCATTTTTTTAAAGTGTCATTTTAAGTCATGAGAAAGGAAAATTTTTTTCTCCTTTTATCAACTGTAACTATGTTACTCATATTGCAAGGTGAGGCTGCCATTAATAGCTTAGCTACACCTAACAATCAAGCAAACTCCTCACACTTGGCATTATTTACTTTATTGTGTGAGACTTAATGGGAGGTTTTGTATTCCCAATGGGATAGAGACTAGAAATCTACATTTCCAGTCCATTTTCCTTTCCTCTTGGAAATACAGCTGGACTCCTTTTCCTGTCCAGGTAGGTGGCGTCATGCTCTGATGGTTGGTCTTACCTTTTACCTCTTGTAGTCACCTGCTCTTCTCCTCCCTGCACGACTGAGCCCACAATAGTGCGTGACTAGGATAACCTTAGAAGCTGCCTGTTGAGATGGCAGAGCATTCCTCATTAGGTTCCTGAATGTGGAACAGAGCCCACTCTCCTTCCATTACCAGATGGACTCGGAGCGAGAGAAATATTCTTCAAGTTCCCATGTTCAAGGTTTATCTTGTAAAATAGCTAGTGTTCTCTTAACACTTGCAGTACTGTAGCAGGCAGGTCACAGCATTGCACTTCCCTTCATTCTTGTTTTTTATAGAGCCTCCAGCTCAGCCATGAGAGATGAGGGCCTCTTAGGCTTTCCGGGCATGCAGACAGATGGCCTTCTAGGCTCCCAGGAATGTGTTAGAGTTTTCAAAGCCCCTTTCCATCACCTGATTTTCTAACTTTTTAAAAAAGACTTTTGTTCGGCTTGTTACCCCAGTTTTATGACCACCTGAGGCAGGAATGATATTTAAACAGTTGCCACTGATTGTTTGCTTTTTTTCCCTCAAACATCCCAGGGAAAACACTGTTTTTAATGAATTACCTTTGGATTAGGTTAATTCCTGTTAGGTGGTCTCTGTGTTCTGGCCATGGGGTTTAGGGAGCCCCGAGTTGGGTTTGGGCCACTCAGCGGCTGCTAGACTATTGGTTTACTCAGTACTGTGGAGTAATGGGGTAGGGCAGAGTGTTGGGAACAGGGCAAGTCAAAACACAGCTCACTCTTAGCTAGATTTACTTGTGTTTCTTGAATAAATGCACCTGAGATTGTTGCGGTTTTTAAAATTATATTCCAGAGTTCTGAATAAGTTACTTTTAACAGTTTTTGCTCATGTTCTCATATAGTTGTAGAGAAATGGATTTTCAGAGATTTTTTTTACACTATCATCCCTGCTGATATCACCTATTTATGATTTGTTTTTGTTTCTAAATATATTCATTATAATGAAGAACAAAATATTTCCATTTGGAAGATGCTTTTTTATTAATTGTTCTTTTAATTATTGTGTTGGAATTATATGTAAGATTAAAAATATTATCCTAAATATGGAAATTGTTTTAGATGATCAACTTAAGAGAAGTACATAATATAGATTGTGTTAGGAGATAAAAAATGAAGAAAATTCAGCATTTTATAACTGGAAAATAGAAATGTCCATTTTTCAGAGAAGGAATCTGAGGGAGAACATAAATTCTTTGATAAGATTATATGACTAATAGCAGTTTTGAAAATTTTTCTTAAACATCTTAATAATCTTTTTACCATGTCATTGTTATACAGTAGTAACACAGCAAGACAAATAGAAATAGCACATTGGGCAAGTGAGATACTCCACTGTGTTAATTCCAGATTAATAGCATTCTGTCCAAATGGGTGATGTTTCAAAGAGTCTTATTTTTCTTTATTCTTGTGTTATATTTCATGGGATAGAGACAGTTACTGTATAGTGTAAGGATACTTAATATTTTGGAGGTAAAGGATCTTTTCAAGTATCTTTTTTTTTAAATTATTGGTTTCAGAGAGGAAGGAAGAAAGAGAGAGAGAAATATCAATAATGAGAATCATTGATCGACTGCCTCCTGCACACCTTCTACTGGGGATCGAGCTCACAACCCAGGCATGTGCACTGGGCTGGAATCAAACCTATGACCCTTCAGGCCGATGCTCTATCCACTGAGCCAAGCCAGCTAGACTCTTTGAGAATCTTAAGAATTATTTCCTTGTGCCCCACAAAAACATACATAATATACATGTATGCTAATTTTTATTGTTTTATACATTTTTGGAAGGTTATTAATGGACTTGTTTTAGCCCATGATTCTATTATATTCCTCAGTTTTATTCTTTCTTTATCTCACATTACAAAAATAATTACTAATTACTCATATGCAAACTTTCAAATGTCAGATATCTGTTTCATGCTAGTTTTCTTTACTTTGTAAAATGGACCAAAAAGCCAAAACTGGTTTAGCTCAATGGATAGAGCATCGGCTTGGGGACTGAAGGGTCCCGGGTTCGATTCCGGTGAAGGGCATGTACCTTGGTTGCAGGCATATCCCCAGTAGGGGGTGTGCAGGAGGCAGCTGATCGATGACTCTCTCTCATTGATGTTTCTAACTCTCTATCCCTCTCTCTTCCACTCTGTACAAAATCAATAAAATATATTTTTAAAATATAAATAAATAAATAAATAAATAAATAAATAAATAAATAAAATGGACCAAAAGCATTCCTGCTATATAGAATTTGTATAAAACTTGCTTTCAGTAAAGGATTTTTAGCTTTTGGAATCCTGTTTATATGACTCTAATTGTTTTGAGTGTCTTGGTTGCCTAATTTTCAAAAGTACACATATTTAGAATTTTGTGTGTGTGTGTACTATCACTGCTAATATTATTTTATTACTTTTCAGTTTTTGTTCAGAAAAACCTGATAATACATTGTCTGTTATAATAGAAATCTTTAAGCCCAAGCCAACATGAAAGTCCTAAATCTATGCAGCTCTTCAAGCCTGGACAATAGCCATGGGGCGTTTGTCAATACAGCTCCGCAAGTCTCTTCGTGGCATCATATTGACTGTGTATTAATACAGAGTATTCTATTGGGCCGTCAACTGATTGTTTAGAATGTAAATGAAGCTGTTGATGGATCTGGTGACTGATGGCTTAAATTCCAATTAATCAATTGCTTCATCCGTTTCTTAATTCAGATCAAATATCTCCTGAATGCACACAGTTCTTTTAGTGGTATTAAGAGAAATTAATGCTTGAGAACTAATTTTCATCAATCTCTTATAAATGCCAATATCTTTTTCACTTGTCTCCTAAGTGATGACATTATAGTTTAAGTGCTGGGGACATATTACAATAGCTCAGCTGTCACTTGTTGTGGGTGAGGGGCAGGTAAATGACACTGTACTCATCCATGTTCTCTCGGTGGTGCTATTCATCTTGCCACCAGCTTAAAAATTTCATGCAGAGTCATTAAGTCATATAAATGATTTAGAAATTAAGTTTGATGGCAAACGATCTGCTATTATATATGCAAAGTCAATGTCTATTTTTCTTTTGTTGGGCACATACTGTAGCCCATTTCTTTTAGAGCTATTGGATTCATGAATTGTTGCAGGTAGTCTGCTGATATTACAGGGTGACTTGTACAGAATATTACATATTTGTACTGCTTCTCACTGAGTCGCAGCAGTTCCTTTGTCACCACCTGGTGTGGCTCTCCTATGTGACACATATACTGGTAGATCTCAATTTTATTGTCATTAGACCTGTCCTTTCCTGTCAAGTCTTGTCAATTATACAAAATAAAATCAAGCATTCATAATAAGACTGAAATAGGATATAAGCAGACTAATTTAATAATTGATTTTTGCTGAACCTTAACTGGCATCAGTTGAAGCTTATGCTTGCTGTTAAAAAAATTAGTAGATACAGTTCATGTAAGACAAGTCCAGTTGGTCATACTTATGCAGCTCCTTCTTTAAATCATATCAGTTACTTCAGTATTAGTAAAGTTTACTGTAACTGAAAATAAATGTCAATTTCCTGTAAAATTTTAAGATAGCACATAATTATTTAACATGAAAGCAAAGAAAAGCAACTGTATTATTTCCAGTGTTTCATAAGTTATAGCAATCTAGCTAGAAAAGCTTTCACCTTTAGAAACACAGAATGTTTAAAATTTAAGAAACTCTACAGAGTCGCACTTTTTCTTATTTTATGTATTAGGAAAAAAAAACAAACCTGGAGCCGAACTCTGGCACTGACATTTCAAAGTATCAGTCAGACTCTGGAATATAGTCCCTTTCACTATATTTTTATGTTTTATATCAGATCACACGCACGGGCTTTGAGATAATCATGCAAATATTCAGATGATGGTTTTGTAGATACTAGTATATCTTCAGTTGATAAACTGGGCAATTGGAAAATCAATCCTGTTGTGTCTGAGGAAGTAAGCTGTTCTCTGTGGCTCTCTGGGATTCATGCTGGCAATGGTGATGCCCCTGGCATAGGGTAGTTAAAGGGTAAAAATTAATGGTGCAGGGATCTCAAGGGGCACACTTTTGGCACTGAATTGCTGGTAGTCGTGATTAGCAGAAAGAGCATTGGCTGGCGTCTAGTACTTTTGCTGCGTGAGAGAGCAGAGAATGCCCATGGTGTGCAGGGGCCCTTTCTTCTGCAGTTCAAGTGAACACAAAGCTGGTATGGCTGGAGTTGGCACAGTTCCATTTAGTTTTAGAATGTGTGTTAAGGTGTAGGGAATGAAGCTATGTGAAGATATGTTCTTATTTCTCTACCTTAAGTAGTTCCCCAAATTTGAGAAATAACATCACATGATTGTTATTCTGTGCATACAAATGGTCTGTCTTAGGGTGGATTCTGAGAAATGGTGTGGTAGCATGGTTAAAGAGTAAATGGATTGTTGAAATTTAATATTTTTTTATGTTTAAGATTTGATAGGGTTATCAGTATGACGGTAGGTCTGGCCAGGGTTTGGGCATTTTAACTGTGCCTTTATGATGAGGAGCGTGTGTTTTCTGATGGTACCTCAGACATTTTATTATCAAAGTCAGATCACACATTCTTGGATATTTTTGAGTATTTACTTAATGTTTAGTTATCAGAACATGAACCAAATGTAGAAATGATCAGAGTGGTCTTTCAAAAATAAAGTGCAAGTAATCTTAAACCTTAATAAGCCAAGAATATCAAATAGGAGATAAGGATCAAATAGTTAATCACCTGTATTTTTTCAGCAAACTCCTTTTGTGAATCAGATAAAGAATTTCTATGTATATTGTTTTGGATCTGACTGTGTTGTGGAATTTTAGTTTTTAAAGTATCTGTATCTCAGAAATTTTATTTTCTATTTCCAAGGTTCATGTTTTATTCGAACGGATCAACTAGATGGCGAAACTGACTGGAAGCTGAGAGTGGCCGTAAGCTGCACACAGAGGCTGCCAGCCCTGGGGGTGAGCATCCCCGCAGTACCCCATCATTTATGTTTAGTAAATTTCTGTTTGTACCAACTAATGTATCAAATGCATCAATAATTTTAAACAACAATATTTACTACTAATGAAGGATCATTGAAAACTAAGCCAAAATAATTTCTGTGGTATCTTAGCACATAACCTGTTGAGGTATAGTTTTGAATGTTCCTACTGACTTGACACTGAGGTTTTTTTTTCTTTCTCACTCTTTTTGTTTTTATTTTTAAACCCTCTCCATCCAGTAATCTTTGAAATGGAGAGCTTTGTAGGGTTTCAGTAGGTCTGCTAAAATAAAATCACAGTTTTGGTGCCCTGGCCAGTGCAGCTTAGTTGGTTGGAGCATCATCCATTATACCGAAAGGTGGCTGATTAGATTCCTGGCTAGGACATATACCTCAGTTTCAAGTTTGGCCCCTGGTGTGTCTGTGTGTGTGTGTGTTCTTTCTCTTTCCCCTCCTCCCTCCCTCCCCCCTTCCTTCTTCTCTCTCCCCCCATTCTTTCTAAAAATATCAATTAAAAAAAATAAAAACACAGTTGTGGCCATTTGGTGCTTACTTTGTGTTATTTGTAGTATTTATCTGATTGAGAGAAGTTTCATTTTATATGATGTGCTGATATTCAATGGACAATGAAGAAAGATTGAGAATCTCAGGTAGGAGTGAGGAAACTTTTTTCTGCCAAGGGCTGTTTGGATATTTATAACATCATTCTCAGAAAATTATCAACTTAAAAGTTAGCCTGCTATATTTGGTCAAACATTTAATGAACTCACCCCTAATGCCTTGGTGGAGCCAGACAAAATGATTTTGCAGGCCTGCTCTGAAGGGAGAGAATTGGTATACCATGGATTTGGTCCCTTTCCTTGGGTTGGTTGGCTTTGGGTGGAAAAATCTACTTGTGCCGCATCCAGTTAACAGTTCATCCCAAGGTGCAGCATGAACCTTCTTCATTCCCCTATGTCCTGGACTGTTAAGTTCACATGTTTAAGACTCAGGAATAGTTTATTCTGTGGGTGTTTTCAGTTGCCTATACTTTAGGTGGTCCCTCCATTGAAATTCATTTGATCATTCTCAGTGTCTTTTTCATATAGTGCAGTATTTGATTTGCTTATATTTTATGAAGGATTTTTTTTTATGTCTATGTTCATGAGTGATATTTATCTGTGTTGCATTTATTGTAATGTTTTTGCTTTGATATCTAGGGGTATGCTGGCCTCATTAAATGAGTTAGGAAGTCTTTTTGCTTCCAGTATTCTTTTGAAGTACTTGTATAGAGTGTTGTTATTTCTTTTTAAAATATTGAACAAATTCACCCTTGAAACTCTTTGAACTCGGAGCATACTTTGTGGGAAAGTATTTAATTTCTGAATTAGATAATAGAGTTCATCAAATTTCTTGTTCATTGGAAATTTGTATTTTTTAATGAATTTATTTGTTTCATATAAGTTGCCAAATTTAATGGCATAAAATTGATATAATATTTGATTATTGGTTTTAGTACCGTGTTTCCCCGAAAATAAGACATCCTCCGAAAATAAGACCTAGCACATGGAAAGATAAGACATCCCCTGAAAATAAGACCTAGTGCAACTTTGGGAGAAAAAAATTAATATAAGACACTGTCTTATTTTCGGGGAAACAGAGTAGTTGTTGGTCTCAAGACCTCGTTCATTCTCAATATTGGTAATTTAGATCTTTTTTCTTGGTCAGTTTGGCCAGAAGTTCATCAATTTTATTTATTTTTCACTTTTTAATATATTTTATTGATTTTAGAGAGGAAAGAAGAGGGAGAGAGAGATAGAAACATCAATGATGAAAGAGAATAATTGATTGGCTACCTCTTGCTTGCCCCCTACTGGCATATGCCCTGGGCCGAAATCAAATCTGGAACCCTTCAAACTCTATCCATTGAGCCAAACTAGCTAGAGCAAAATTCATCAATTTTAGTGATCGTTTCAAAGAACTTGCTTTTGGTTTGATTGATTATTGTCTGTTTATTTTCAGTGTTATTGATTTCTGTTATCTTTATTTTCTTCATTCTACTTAGTTTGTGTTTGATTTTCTTGCTTAACTTTTTAAAGAATTTTAGACTTGATTTTATACCTTTGTCTTTTCTGGCAGAAACGGTTAGAGCTATAGATCTCCTAAGTATTACCTAGGCTGTATCACACAGATTTTTATAGACTGCACTTTCATTATCATTTAGTTTACAATGTTTCTAATTTCTTTATGATTTCTTTTTTCACCTCTCATTTACTTGAAAGGATATTGTTTATTTTCCAAATATTAGGGAATTTTCTTAATGTCTGATCATTTATTTGTTATTTAATTCTATTGTGTTCACAGAATGTATTCAGTTCTATCTCAGTCCTCTTATATGTATTGACTTGTGATTTTGTCCTACAGATGGTCTCTGAGCCAGTGTACCATGTGTGCTTAAAATTTTTTCCCATGTGCCATCACTTTAGTACTTAAGATTCTAGCTTAAAATTCTCATACTATTTGCTAAAATGAATTGGTTCTTGTCATTAGACGTTCTTGCAGCCGCTGATTTTCTATAGAATTGAGCCAGTTGTTGGGGTGGTGCTATTTTGCTTGGTTGCAGAGTATTTCCTCTTTGTGGAATTCCTTCTTTTTTCTAGCAAGCATTCTCAAGTAATCTTCCAGGGTTAAAGGGGAAGGAAAGATCATGAATTCTTAAATGACTGGGAGGATTTCAATTGGCAGTCATTCTTGGATAGCAGCCCCACTTCCAAGAATTCTAGAGTCACTGGAGTGGATACTTGGAAAGAGTTGTACTAAATAATAATTTGTAGTAGATTTAAGAGTGGTAGAAGAGAAAGTGCAGGGTTAAAACACTGTATTAGGGGGAAAAAATCATTTAAAAGAAAGCCAAACATAAGTTAAACAAACAAAAGTATGTAGGGTGTGGTTGCATTATTAAGAATTCTAAGGAAGTAGGGCGGTGGTGATGGAGGCTGAAATGGGGCAGAGAGGCCTGCAGAGGGGAGATAGAAATGTTCCACAGCTTGGATCATGGAGGCTGGGAGCAGGACAGGGAGGCCTGACCAAGGGGATAGAAATGTCCCACAGCTTGGGTGATGGAGGCTGGGAGCAGGGCAGGGAGGCCTGATGAGAGGAGATATAAATGTCCCATAATGTGGGTGTTAGAAGCTGGTAGCAGGGCAGGGAAGCTGACCAGGGGGATAGAAATAACCCATAGTTTAATGGTGACAGTGTTATAAGCATATATATATAAAGCATATATATATATAAAATATGTGTGTTTGTGTTAAAATGCATAAAGTTATACACTTCAAACATGCACAATTTATTGCATGTAAATTATATCTTAAGAAAGTAGTTAAACTTACACTGTTGTTATCTGTATTTTTTAGTATTCTCATGATGATAGGAACTGACATTTTATCAGATTCAGTATTATAAAGAGTTTTTCATTTTTGTTACTAACAAAAACGTATAAATTTCAAAATATTTACTATAGTATGCAAGTCATGTGCTAATTAAAAATTTTTATGGTTGATATATTTTAATAGGACTGGCACTGAGCATTTGGATTGAGCAACCGTGAAGTAAATGAAAAAGTTTTAAGATATTACTGCAAAACCAAAAAGCAGTATATTTTAAAAAAGGAAATTTAACGGAATTTTTGACTCATCAATCAAATTAAATGTGTAGCTTTATATAATTTGGTAGATTGTGTATAGAAACTTTATTCATAGAAAAGAAAGCTGTAATTTTATTATGGATACAGACAAGGCAATTTGGTCTTTCATTTAATAGCTTATGCTGCCCATAACTGTCACTCATTTTGACTTTTCTGTTTCTAATGTAATGGATTTCGGGAATATTTGGTGTTCTTCATTCTTTGTCACATCATCAGTTGAGCATTGTGTTCATTGTGACACAGGAATAAGTGAACCTACAGATCTTAGAGCTTTTTTAATGAACTGAGGACACCATCAAGAATAACCTCTCTAATTTAGTTGCATTCCCAGAACACCTAATGTGATCAGAGAATTAAAATTTTGACAAGCCCTTTAATTCAGCTGTGCTGCAGTTCCTGCAATGCTGGCTCCGTGTCTTGGTACTACACAGGCGCCTGTCTAGGAGGTACACATTCCAGGCACCCTAGACATTTGGGAAATATGTTTCTAGCTTTTGTGATCCCCAGGCAAATTTATTAACAACAATGAGGTCATAGTAATTTTCAATAAATCATGACTTGCTGATTTATTTCAAAGGATCCATATAGCAGTAAACAATACCATTTACATTTAATGAGTTTTATTGAACGAAAGGCAATTTTATTTGTAATGAACCACATGTTATGATTAAGGATGTATTTTAATGACCTTTAAGTAATGCGAACAAATGTTGCCCTTGACCTAATAGCAGAGGCTTTCCTACATGATTGAAAACTTCAGAATGGTTTTTAAATTATCATGAAAAGCTTCGAATGGCATTCTCATTATTGTGCCATCATTCAGTCATTTGATGTCTAATATACTAGATGAAATGCATTCCCTAAATGTTCATGCACATGTCGAAGCTAGCTTGTTCTTTATTTCTATGTCTCCAAAGATAATCTGTTATATGAATGTTTTATTTTTTTTGAAAATTACTATGACAGTATAATACTTAACTGATGAATGATTCTCAAACTGGCCTTATCCTAGGAATCATTGGCTGCTTGATTCTAGTTGTGTTTTCATAAGTCTAAAATTACTATACAATGCATTTCTTCTTGTGTAAACTAGCTTGACTTAATTAGTTTGAAAATAAATTTTTATTAGTTAATAAATAGTCTCTGCTGCAGTCACAGACCCACAGTGTTGAGCTGCTGTACTCTCCCTTCAGCTGGTGTAGCATCTCTGCTCTCAGGTCTTCTGGAGGGTATGTGAGGATTTTTCCCAGAGAGTGTGTACTATAAGTCAGGGACCGGGATGCGTTAGCTTTCTGCCTGTCGGCGGTTCTCTGCAGCAGGGTTGCTGTGTATTGAACTTGATAGCGGCAACAGTGTTTTCCAAGGACAATCATTTTGGTAATATTCTGTGAGTAATTTTTGGAGGTTAGTCATGGTCCTCTTTCCTCCTCTGATTTTATGTATTCAATTCCGTTCTTCTCTGAGGAATGGTTTCTATTTCCTGTATTGATCCATCTTAAGTCAAGAGACAAGTTTTTCTCCTTCACCAACATCCCAGAGGTCAGTGGTCCCAGGCTGAGAAGACAGCTCTGTCCTCTGTTTGTGATTTTTCCACTGTTCCAAATGTCTGCTCCCAGCCGGCTCAGCCAGCAGGAGGGGAAGTGCGTGGGAAAGCATTCTCATCCAGGAACTTGGCACTTTTCATCACATCTCACCACTAGAATGAGCCACTTGGTGAGAACTAGCTGTCTGTGATCTTTATAGAGGCCATGCACCCATCTTAAGCTTGAAGTTCTGCCTTTAAAGGCCATGGCAGAGTGGTGGACGGTGATCTTCATCTCACTGTCCCTCATTTGCCATCACACTTCTCACCTCAAAGGGTGAGGTATTGAGACTCCATTCATTAGGGTCCTCAGAACAGATGCCCCCCTTAGAATCTTGTCAGAATTACCATCTGTACTATAATCAGTTACTTCACAGTTGTTCTCAGGAACTCTAAGCAACTTGAAAAATGTGTATATCTTTCTCACTTAGGTTAAAGGAGGAAATGAAATGTAAACAGTAAACTAGTACATGGCTCCTGAGGAAGCCATATCATTTTTAGGCCATTGCCTGTTTTCTGCAACTGATGACATACAGCCAGCAGCCAGGCTCCTGCTCACAGAGCAGCCCTGACGGGAGGCTGTGCACACAGCAGGGAGCCCTCCATGTTCTGCCTCCCTGGCCACAGGGACCCTGAATACATGTTTAGAAGTAGCGGGAATGGAAAGGCCACAAACATTGCAAAACCATTCCAGGAGTAGGAGAGCATCATGCAAATCTCTGGTGTGTTCTGAGAAATCCCAGAGGACACTGCAGTCTGAAAGAAGCCACAAAGAAGGATCAAGTGGATATGAGACCTCATTGAAGGACATGATCATAGAAATAAGAACATGGCATGGAGCTGGAGAAGAATTGTTCTGCAGCTCCCAGAACAGAGGCTGGAGTGTGGTTTTGGTTGCTGTTCCCAGTGGACACACTGAGTCCTATCAGCAGCAGGTAGTGAGGACGTATATGAAGTTCAAAGGGACAACTGGGTTTTCTCAGGTGGGTGCCATTTCAACTGGCTGCTTCCAGGACCCATACAGGACACACCTGAGACCAATAGGACAGGCTGGTCTCACCCAGCTGGGCAGGGACCTAGAATAACAATATACTTTTCTTATAAAGATGCCTTGGATAGTGTCTGAAAATGTGGATTTCAAGAGGGTTCCCAGCATTCCCAGAGAAGAAAGACTCACTGGGCCTAAACTGTTTATTCCAGCAACATGTTTACTGGAATACCTGCTTTTCTTCTGGGCAAGCTGAGGTGCCAAGGGACACCCTTCCTCTCACAGACAGCAATCCTAACTCCCTGTCTTATCAGTCATCCCCTCCATTAACCTTGGAGTGGCCCATAACAGATCTTTCCCTCTCTGAGACAGCAGCATTCGGTAATAAAGCTGCCTTACTAAGGCCTGTGAACAGAAGGAAAGTGAGGGAAGCAGGTTAGGCTCATGATCAACTGCTTCAAGCTGCAGTTGATCTGGAGTGCCAGCCACAGGTGACAGCAGTGACACCTTGAAAGATGGGCCTCCCACTTGCAGCTGTGAGCAGGGGTCACGTGTTCGTGCAACAGTGGCTCAATTTTAGATGGCCCCATCAGGGCCCAAGCCCTTGGTCATGGTCAGCTCAGAGAGCCCAGCCAGTGTCCAGTTTTCATGGTTTATGTCCCTCCCAGGGGTTCAAATTCTGCACTTAGTCCCAGGTCCCAGGTGTCTCCATAAGGCCATTCCTGCACTTAGTTTGGCATTGCTCGAGTCATGGTCAAAACACTCCTGGCAAACAGTGAGAGTTCAGTACGGGGATCTGGGGTCTGTAGGTCCAGGGTTCCAAGTGATGAGACTTCCAGGCTGTGCCCTGAGAGCTCTAACTCAGATATGGCATCAGCCTCACACCAAGGAGAGTTCCAGAGCTGTCTAGACGGGAGCACAGTCTGTGTCCAGCACATTGGAGTGTTGAGGGCATGGCACTGGTGCCACTCAGGGCAGACCAGAATGCAGCTTCCTCCCCCACTCTCTCCCCACTCTCCCTCCCACCCCAACCCCCATTCAGAAATCAGAGCTCAGCTGGAAAGCTGCAGAGTTGTCTGTCCCCCAAGCAGCTTTGACCTGGTTGTGCAGCTTGAGTGGTTAGTTTTCTTTTCATTAATCTTTTTAATAGTCACTAGATTGTTCTGTCAAACCTGTAGTCCTGTTACAGAATTTTCCTGTAATTTAAGTCTCTTTTTTATTCTCCTGAGCTTTTTCAGTTATCTTCAGGTTACCTTACATCTGCTGATAACTCTCTCAGTACTATTAAATGGAAAAGGAATCCCGGTCCTCCTGAGATGGCACAGAGGACATGCAGATAGGAGTAAGCCGAGGCCAGGGCACTATCTGTCCTGTGCAGCCCATAGGCAGCAGCGCCAACAAGAGAATGAGACAAGGACAGGCTTGAACTCCTTACTCTTCACGTTTATGGACCAATGTCAACATCCCAGTCAAATTCAGCCCTTTAGTAAAAGACCAATATTTTTAAACTTCTGTATTGAATTTGTCTAGTTTTCGGTAGCCAATTAGAAATATTTAAAAAAAAAAAAAAAAGTTGTCCTAGTATTGTTATTCAGAGAATGTTGGATATCAGAGGTGTGGTGGAATAATTATGGAATAGTCTAACATCCTCAGTGTCTTTGAGAACCAAAATGAAATAGAGATTGAGTAAAATACCAGACATCCAAAAAAAATCTTACCAGCATCTCCCAAGTGCTTTGGACACACACCTGTCATCAGGTAGCAGTGATTTGTTAGAATCAAGAGAACTGCCAAGCCCCCCTTGAGCTTAGAAATTGTTTTTTTTTAGTTATCTTCCATCCTAATTCATAATGTTGGCACAAAAATATAAGAAAATCAACCATCACTTTTGGTAAATAATATAGAAAAATATTAATTGGTAGCTGAAAACTTTAAAGAAACTTTGTTTAATTTTAATGTTACTAATTTAGATGCTCTGTTTTCCAGGACCTGTTTTCCATCAGTGCTTATGTCCATGCTCAGAAGCCACAGCTGGATATTCACAGCTTTGAAGGCACATTTACCAGGGTGAGTTAAGTCTTCTGTTAAATCAACAAACCTTTATTTAATATATAAAATATAATAAACCTTTATTTAAAGAAGTTATATCAGGCAGATTCTGCCCTGTAGTAGTTGTTCAAATGAGGAGAAATTCCTGGTGCTTCCTGCTCCACCATTTCAGAATCCTGTCTCAATTCCTTTTTTCTATTTTATTTTGCAGTGCCTTTTCGCTGCTAGTCAATTCTTTTTAATGCTGTAGATATCTGAAGTGTGAATAATCTATATATTGGTAATTTAGTATTGTTTTCTTTATCTTTTCCTGAACAGGAAGACAGTGATCCACCCATTCATGAGAGTCTCAGCATAGAAAATACATTGTGGGCAAGCACAGTTGTCGCATCAGGTAAGAAATAAGCTCCATTTTTATAGTTAATTCTCACATAATAGATGATGCTTTGTGTTTTTGAGTGGCTCCAAACAAGTGTTTCTCAAGATGCCTGGCATAACATGGAAACTTTATTAAACATACACTCCAGTTCAGTGAGTGTCAGACAGGCCTGAGAGTCTGCATCTCAGACAAGCCCAGGGCCACGGCTGACAGTGATTGTGATAAATACAGAAAATGAGAGAAAACATTTGGAAATTTTTATAGCAACTGATGAAGTAATTTAATGTTAGAAAAATTGAGGTGTATATTTCCTTGTTTTTATAATTGTTTCTTTTGTTACTTTATTGTGGTATTTTTCAGAACTAGTCCTCACAACATATTAATAATTTAAAAATAAAACCTGGCCCTTTATCATTCATTGTTTGTGGGGCTCCTGCTCTAGAAATAGGTTACTCCTTCTAGGATTAAGGAAGCTGGAGAAGCTGCTCCATGAGGACAGTCCCAGAGGGACAGCCTGGAGCTCTGGGACAGACACAAACCAGCTTCTAGCTGAGCATACAGGGGAAGTGAGGACAGCACAGAACCCACTGCAGTATAGGGTACATCATCCACAACAGGGATGGGAGTTGCTGCTTCTCAAACCTGTCTCATGGGCAAGTGTAGAGGATGAGGGGTAGGTGGAGAAAGTGGGCAAAAGTGTTGCTCTGATGTCTTCCCCAAACGTGCACGGTTGCCAGAGCCCAGATCTGGTGCAGGTCCCATCTGACACTGTGTGTCCCTCTCTCATCTCTTGTGTAAATTTTCTTAGGTTGATTTATTGGTTTCATTGGGGCATGTGGGTATATCTGGCAGGTGTGTAGTGGTCACTGGCTCACTGTCACCGCTGTGTCTCCACTGCTGCTTGGTGCTTCTCCCAATCTCCCCTAATCCTCACCCTGTCACCCCCACCCAGGGATGCTCGAGCAGCTTGTACATGAGGTTTTGTTGAGACTGGCTCCAGGAAAGCATCTGTAAATTGTAGCCAATCACCAAGGCTGCCATACGGGCCTCAGTTTTCTTACTGTGTGAAGCAGGTTCTGGGTATATGATTGGGATCAAGTAAGACTTTGGTTGCTTGATCTTTCTTTGTCTGTTTGTTTTCCCCCTACATCTTGTCTTTCTCATAAGCAATCTCTCCTTAAGTCTGACAAATGTATTATATCTTGTTGCCCCCTCACATCTCATTTTTAAATTAATAGGTAACCCCTTTCCCATCTTTCTTTGATTTGCCAAGTATACAGGTTTACTCTTTCTTTTAGCCTATAAATATATACCTGTTATCAAAGAGAATGGAGGATATTTCAACTATGCTGTTCTGACTAGTAATTTTAGTAATTAAAATGCGTGGGAAACTCAGTAAAAAATGCATTATTCTAACTCCAGCAAGTACTCATTTTTAGTAAAAGTTAAATTTTTGTCTGTCTGAATGCAGTGTTTCCTGTTGGTCTTGTCATTTCACAGACTTCATCTGGGACACTTTAAAGTGTAGTACCAGCCTGGAGTCAATATCACTAGTCACCTACTTACACATTAGGACAGTGGTTTTTAGCTTGATTAACTTTCAAGCCTTTTCTGAGACTTGTTTTTTTTATAAATTAATTAAAAAGAAATTAATTTTGTAATTTTCCTTGTTCTATTTTTATGCTTACATTACATTAGTGACACTTATATTTTAATTAAGTTAAACTTAATTGGCAAATTAGGAAAGTTTTAAAGTATTATATCATTGTTAATTTAATATTTTTTTATATATATGCTAACAGACAGACTATCTTAGAAGTTTATAGAGTAATAATATATAAAGATAGCATTTGTGCGGTTTGGAGTTTACTCTGCTTTTAAGAACACAGCTTCCCCAGTGACACACCTTTTTAAAAGGTGTGTGTGGGAGGGTGTTTATTCTAAAACAGAAAAATATGTGTCCCCTCTACAGATTGCACTACTTAGCAGTATTCTAGTGCTCTCTTCCTGAACACCCTGTGGAGGAGGCAGTTTGTCTTGTGATTTGTCATTGTGCTTTATGTCCAGGATTCTGTGATTGCACTTACTCAGAGTGTCCTACCTACTGACACACTAAATACCACACCTTCACTTAATGTGACATCAGAGCTTAATATCATAGTAAATTCTATAATGGTTGTTGACTGTCTTTCTTTAATCATATTTCTTACCTTCAAATTTTTCAAAGTTAGGATTTTAAATTATGCACAGCTGCAGTCCTAGATCAGACATTCATGGTTTCAACTTGACATTTCAGAGATGCCTGCCTCTGTACATCTTTTGCAGCCTATAGGTTGTTCTGGGGTACTTTATGATTCTTTTGTCTTAAGTTTAATGGAACACAAATTTATCATTTTTTCTTGACATAAAACTAGAAAATCAAACTTTCAGGAGATGAATAAAAAAGACTAATAATATCTAAATTGAATATCAAATATTTTTATTATATTTCTCTTATTGTTTTAATTGTATATGTGCCAAAATATTAGGACTTTAATCTTTTCAGTGAAATATACTCCTAGACTCTTGTTCACAGAAACTGGTTCAGTTGGTACCATCGTGGTTTTAAAAGGTCACAAGATGATTTTGACCAGTTAAGAATGTGGCCTCTCTTCATTTAACTTCAATGTTAGAGTTACCATCTTAGTAAACAATAATGAATGAACAATGTCACTCTGTTTTCAAAGAATATTAGTACATATTCTAATGTAATATTTAGGTAAATTTGTGTTGCTTAAGAAATCATTTGAATTTTTCAAAATTTATTTTAAAAGTTAAGATTAGGTGTTCTTGAACAAATCCAATCAAATGTGCTGTTGGATACATTTATATAAAATTAAACGGTGTAATAATACTTCCAATAAAATAATTTAATTAGAAAGTATTATCTCTGTGCTTACCATTTAAAGTATCTCTGTAAGGACCACTTTCGTGTTTTTGCAGGTACTGTAATAGGTGTTGTCATTTATACTGGAAAAGAGACTCGAAGTGTAATGAACACATCCAATCCAAAAAATAAGGTAGGCTAGATTAAGGAGCAATTGCTTTAATGAACTTGCTTTTTCCTTTCAGTAAGAAAGTACATGTAGTTCTGAATAGCCCATTCATTTTAGCTTAATACATACGTAAAATTACTTTCCAAAAGGTTGGTGATTTAGAATAAGAATTCTCTGTATTTATGTAACAACATGCACATACAGAAGAATTTCCAAAAGTATCTTTTCTTGGTTAATCAGTTTTATATGTCTCTTAAATTTTCATTACTGGATATACAATTTACCCATAACTTGACAGTTAATTGTGGGTCTCTTAATGTCTCTTCAATCTACTTTACAATTGGCACTCTTTATTTTTATGTTAATGACTCGTTTTAAAATAAAGAGATCTGCATTATTTTTAGAGTACTTAATTTCATAGTGTTATATTTTTAAACTAGTTTTATGTAAATTATTGCCATTTTAGAAGAGATATATTAAAAACTAGATTTTAGTTTTAAAGATTGCTTGATTCTATTTCTAAACTAATATATTTCTAAAATTGTTATTTATCTACTCAACATGTATCATCCAAAGTTAAATTATGACCTCAGGTAAGAACTTAAACCCTGGCAGTTGACTGCCTGGCTTATAGTCTGGGCATTGCCATTAACCAGCTCTTTGACTCTGGACATGTGGCTTAATTCTGTGTCTTACTACTCAATAAATGTTACCTATCATTATTATCTTCCTGTGAAATGAAATGTGAAGTGTTAACGAATGCCATAGATTTTGAACCCAACCCTCAATGTCAGTCAAGAAGTCTTTACTAAGTAGTGTTCCCCACATCCCTCCACCGACACGACCCTGGAAAACCTTGTCCACTGACCCTCTGCACTCACTCCTCCCCACACTCTTCCTCTCCCACACTCTCTTCCTCTCCCACACATTTTTAAAAAAGACCCTTCTAGATTTCCCTGGTGTTAGCAATATGTACCTTATATATATTAGGAAGGCACCTTTGGAGTTTCCCACATTAGATTTAAATCGTCACTTTGCCTCTTGCCAACCTCACATGTAAAGCAAATGTGCTCTTCCAGTGTCAGGCTCCTTCTTGGTGCTCAGTCCATGTTTTGTGCCTTCCCCAATGGAAGTTGTGGGGGCAGTAACAGCTAAGGCAAGGCAGAGTGCTCCCCATGCATGCACGCACACTCACAAACATGGGCACACATGTACACATGCATTCATGATGCTGAGCACTTCTTTCCATTAGGTCACTAGTCTGCACCACACCCTCCACCAAGCGCTGTACTTTGGTCGCAGTGCAGGGAGATCGTAGAGCAGGAAGCTGGGGCTTGTTAGCCCATGTTCGTTTCTGCTTGGAGGCACTATGCACAGAACTCCAACTACATATGGAACCATTTGTGTAAATTGAGGAATAATCTTAGGAGAGAAATAAAGTCTCTAAATTTGCATATGCCATTAAATCTTTCTAAGTGTTAAATGTCAGATTTAAAAGGAAAATTTCAGGAAAAGGTTACAAGCTACAATGGACAGCAAGTAACAGATGTAATTTATCCAGGGAAGCATTGACATATACTGGGTGGAAAGAGTATGTGATATGTAAGTCCCTCACTAGAGAAGGGAAGACAGATTATTAATCACTGTTCGTACGACATTATCATCTGCAGTCTGCAGCTCACTGTTCTGACATAGCTTAGTAACCAACAAACTTTTGGACTTCAAAGAGCACTAGTAGGAATAAAAAGTAAACATTTAATAGGGAAATCGAATCATTTACCCAGGTTTCACTGGACTTCTTCAGGGAATCAAAACTGTTCCTAACCTCAATTCTGAGAGCCATGTGCATGGAGTGTAGATAACCGATGTGATCAGATCCGGTTTTGTGGTGGAGTCCATTGGCAGCCATCATTTGGGATGGGAATACCAATTTGTGAGAGTCATGTCTCTGTCCAGCTGTTCCACGGACTGCCCTGAAACCATAGTAGCTACTACAACACAGGTTTCTTCTCCTCATTGCACATGTTGCTCTGCTTATCATGGCCTCTCGGTGCCTCTGGAAACTCATTTCTATGACCACTAGGTCAGAAGAAATGGCTGAGTCCATGCTGACCTCATGGCTTCTGCCAAGGAGCCATGTAGGTCCCCTTTCCTCAGCCAGAGCAATTCAGTGGCCTCGTGTAAGCTGAAGGACTCAGGGAAATATGGCCCTACTTTTCGTACAGAATTGAGAACTGACTACCCACTGCGTGCTCCATGGTTAGAGTCTCTAGTAAAAAAAAAAAAAAAAAGAGGGATCTCATAGAATCTCCCATGCCAGGAGTTAGGGTGGTGAGCAGGAGAGCAGCCAGGAAAGGCAGTGGGAGAAGAAGGCATTTCCAGAGGCCAGTCGTCAGCAGCATACTGGTGCTATGGAGACAAGGGGGACAAAGTCAGTGAAGAGAGGGCCGTGGGAGATGCAGGTAGGAAACATGGTAGAAGTGACAGCCATAGATCTGTTGGTGTGCAATTCAGAAGGACAGGTGGGAGCGCTCTTTCAAGGTCAGCAGTGTTAGGCAGGGGGTGTGTGTGGAGGGGTGGGAGAGCATGTCAGAGCACTGGCATCAGAGTGGGAAGACTGAACAGGCTTGGAGCGGGGAGTGGGTAGCCCTGGCACTGGAGACCCAGTGGCAATTAAAAATGACAAAAACTGTACCACATGCATAGGGTTTTATTTATTGATTTTATTTGTTTCTGGTGAGAAAATGAATATTATACAACTATGAATGCTTTCAATAAAAGAAGAGAGTGTCTTAGTTTTTAAAGAACTAAAAATATTCTACAGAAGAATAAGTCTTGTGGACATTCAGGAGGAGTAACTTAAATATGTAAACATAAGGTTACTTAAAAGGAAGTTACATATTGTTATATAGAGAGTAGCTGCCATATAAACATGGCTTCTTTGATTTATATAAAATATTTACAATATCAGTCAGTCTCTCCTTCCTTCCTCCTCTTTCACACTCTGTTTCATTTATTTGCTATTATCATTATTAATTAGTGTATATAAGAGGGACATAAAAATTTGGAAAATTGCTTCAAGTTACTAGGATAAAAAACACTGCAGTAAAAGCAGTGCTGATTTAAGGTGGGGGGGGGGGAGTTAATGCGCAGGATTTGAGGTAATGAACTTGATGCAGAACATGGTAAGGGTTTGAGGCCACTTCTGATACACAGAGGACCATAGCCTCAGTTGAGGCTTGTGAATTTCTGAGCAATCCACGGACCCAACTAGTGCAGGGATTTTCGGTTTGTAGCAAAGCTGGTAGCAGGTGTGTGGTTTCCTGAGGCTGATTTTCAAGAGCCCCAAAGTGGAAGCAAAGTAGTGGCTAATCTAAAGTGGCAGGTGGTTGGGTGGACATGTAAGGGGATTAGAGGTAACATGCATGCCTGCAGATCAATGGAATCAGTGACATCAGAAGACCCTAAGGTTAGGATAGTAGACATCATAGCACTTCCAGCACCCACTATCCTAGACTATGACCAGGAATGCTCTCTCTGTCTGGCAATGTCATCAGCCTTTCTTGCTCATGGGGGCATGAGTATGTGCAACTCCCCACTGCATGGGGGCTTCTTGAGGATGAGCATTTGTACATTTTAAACTGTTCTCCCATATGGATGTTGGGTTTTTAACCAGTATTGTCAGTTGTTTCATAACTTATCATTTTAAACTTATCATTCTACTTAACTGATGTCCCAAGCCTTATTTTGGCTAATTCTCTTTTTTATCTTCATTCATTCTCCTCTAGCTTCCTTTTTTAAAAGGAAGAATATTCTTCATATACCTAAAACCTAGTGTTAACAGATATCATACTATTTTATTCTAAGTGTGCATTTAAAAAAAAATAGAAATGAAGATTCTTTCTCTAGGTGCTGCCTTAATCATCTTACTTTGTAAGACCTAGCTGGCACAGCCACATCTCATGCCCTAGGTCAGTGGTCAGCAAACTTGTGAGCCGCAGTTTGCTGACCACTGCCCTAGGTGAATGGCCGTGGGCTGCTGACATCAGCTTCACATCAACCTACACAGCCCAGCTGAGTCAGTGATTGGGTGTGGGGGTTCTGATGTCACTGTCCCCTTAGGTCATGGCAACTAAGATGCACAGAGAATTCATACATGGGTTCATTAAGCTATAACCATTTTATGACACTGATACATGTCCACTTGAATTACCCTTGGGATTGGTCTTTGAAATTGGATCTTGAAATCTAACTTGATAATTTTATATAATGAGAACATAGCTTTATGCTTATTGCATAAGTTTATTAAAATACTTCCTTTAAATGCAGCATGTTTTATCCAGACGTGGGGATTAAGAATAAATTCTAGTGTTGCTAGATGGAGGAACACTCTGTAATAAAAAGTTCTTAGAGCTCCTTTCCAGGGTGAGAATGTTTTTCCTCCTCTGTCACCAATACAGACAGAAAGCAGGGAGATGAGTCCATACAAGCTTGAAGATATTTTAAAACTTTGAACAAATCAAAAGTCTTTATTACTAAGCAATTACTTTTATGATAATATTTGGTGAACATTTAAATTATAAGGAGTGCAACTTGATGGACTGCTTTATAAAACTGAGCTTGAGATATATTTAATAAGATGACACTTGATTACATTTAAGAGGAAAAAATTTCTTACAGAAGGTTAAGAAAAATCAATTGTGACAGGTTGCCATTTTCACGCCATTCATAAGAATAAGTTGCTCCTAGCAAGAACGTCAGGATGAAATGATAATACAAATTGCTTCAAGTGGTTTTTGTCATCCCTTGGGCATATTGATTTGTGTTCCTAATAAAAAGATGCTTTCAGACGTCTCACTGACAGACAGACAGGTGATATGTGCCATTATGGGAATTAAAGCACTATGCTCCTTGGATTGTTGCAGAGGCATTTCGGATAATAGAGTACAATAGAATCAGCTATGGTGGACTTTGCAAGTTAAATTATCAAGGCTGTTTTGGAGAATAGCTTCTTATTTTTAAAA